AAGGCTATACTTTAACCCTAAGATCTTTATAGATATTAATAACCTTATTAATAAGGATATTAATTTAGTTATATTAAGTAAAAAATTAGTTAGTATACCTAAGAGTAATAATAATAATAATAGTTATATATTATTACTATTACTACTAATAATACTAATAGCTAGCCCTTTAATATTATAAGGTCCTTTATAATATAAGTTATAATATTATACTCTAAAAGATAAGATAAATAGTTAAAGGGCAACAGGGGTTATACTATAAAATATCCTATATATACCCTTATTAATATAAAAAAAGGAGTAGTAATATATAGTAGATAATAATAAAAGTAATACCTATATTATAGTAGTAATATAAATTTATAGTTATTATAGAAAAAAAGAAAAAAAAGTACTACTATAAAGCCCTTAATTAAGGCTATTAATTAGTACTACTTTTGTTATTATATAATATTATAGTAGTTATTACTTTAAGAAATAAAAAGTTGACTATACTATATAACGCACATAAAAGTGAGGGTATTTGTGATGTAGGTGCAACCCCCCTTTTCTCACTGTAACCCCCCTTTTTTCGCCCCCTCCGTGAGGAGGGGGTATTTAGCTCACAGCGCTGACTAAGTTGCCCCCGGGTAGAGCTCTACCAAGAACTTAGAGCCGAGTGTCCGCAAAAGTCTTTTGCCGTTAAGCAGTATGTAAACGTGGAGAAAGGGGGGGAGGAACTCTGGGGAGGCATAGTTATTATTAGGGGGGGATTCGGCGCGACTCTCAAATGCCCAGAGAAATAAATGTGGCGAACGTGCGTCTGTTCACCTGTAGCATCGCAGAATCCTCCAGAGCCAAGCCGTTGCTCCCCATTTATCTTCCTCTTTTTTCCATCACAAGACGTTGGAGTCGGTCCGTTGATTTGAGCGAGGCGGCTCTCCTGGGATAATTCCCACTTGGAATCGGACCGTTCAAACTCCACTCTCGACTTCTATTCCACCCCGGACCGCGGGGAACGGGGGGTGGTGTCTGGCGCGTCCAGTTTGGGGCCCCGACGCTCCGCACCTGGCGGTCAACATCCCGTCGGAGGACCCGGGGAACTTCGTGGAGGTACAGCTACATCGCCGGAAGGCCCGCGGGGTTTGAGACAACCATGTCTGACCAGCGCATCGGGCGGAGAAGGAGGGGGGAGACTGTTGGCAGTTTGGGGACTGGGAGCGATTTGGAGAAGGGCATTCGGATCTGGGGAGGTAAAGGAGCAGAGCGCTTATGCCGCCGTAAACGCTGCGGCAGCGTCAATGGCTGCTGGATAAACGTCATGCCCACATCTTCCTGCATCAGACAATCCTTTCTCTACGGTGATCGCTAGGCTACGACGGGCACAGTCCGTATCGTCAGACCGCACGCGGCGCGTGTCCTGGAGGCAAGGCATCTGGACCGTTCAGTGTCAAGAGCGTTGTCGAAGCGCCCAGAAACCCAGTGCCGCATAACGTATCTTCGTACGGATCCAAAGCTTCGTCTGGCATTGACTCCATGTCGTCTTTCGTGCCGAGCAATTACTCTGTACGCATTACCGACAAGCGCAACTGTGCCATCAATCATTATTGAGGGGGCTTAGAAGGGAGCTCGGCAGTCTTGGAAATTCGACCGGCGTGGATTTCAGGTTACGTTATGCGGCTTGGAGAGTTGGCAGACCAGAGAGTCTCTCTCCTCCAATGAGAGCAACAGCTCGGACGTGCCGTTGGCTGACTCGCACGTGAGGGTCTTGGGATCGTCATCCCTTCTTATTTTTGACTTTTCATTTTTTTCCACTTCTGGCCTTTTCTCCAACTTGCGAGATATTGTCGTGCTGCGTTTGCATATGCGCTCTGCTGCCCCACGTAGCGCTTCTGGGAGTCTCGTTGCATTATTACGGAGTTCACCGTGAGATGATCTATAAACGCAGTACTCCGTAGATGAAAGGGGATGTGGATGTGGACATTCTGGCAGGGCTTTGACTCCGTACCAAGTCTTCTCGGATTCTCGATGGAGCTGACCTTGGCAACAATACAATTGGTCTTTTCTTGGCTGCACAACGTATTCCGTGTGCCAATGTTCGCTCACCCCTGCTTCTTCTTCCACCTATGACGCCGGCCAAGCAGCCGATCTCCAAGCCTCACCCAGCATTCACCCAACCAGTGGTGGCCCAGCGAGCCCCATGAACAATTACATGATACGTTTTACTCGGGCTACCGACGAGCTCGTCGTCTCTGTCTTTCGGCCCACCTCAGCTCACAGCTCCATCCCATGACCCCTCGTCCCGTTGACAGGCTTGTTTCATTCCGCCCTGGTGGAATGTGGACAGCCCCTTCACCCCGGATTATCGGTGTGGGATGGATGGTACGGGACGACCATGGATATCGTGTCCATGTACGGATACACGCGTTATTTCCCCGTCCTTCCCACACCTTATTGCGGCCCTAACCGTCTCTTGTGCTTTTCCTAGTCCGCACCCCAGAACCGAGAGCGGGTAAGACCGAGTCGGCCTCTGGGGTAACGTCATAGTAGCGTTCCCGTTATTGCACTCCAGTCGGCAGACATTGACTCGCAATGTTCCACGCGGCAGCCGTGCGGTACCGTATGTGGCTGGCGGTATAAAAGTCATCGTGGTGCGTTTGTGAGATTTCTAGAACAAGCCGTTCCCTGAGTCTTCCCCCCAGGTCCCACTTCGCGACTGGTCTTCAAAGCACCTCTGTTCCCCGTCTCACACAACCTCATCTTTAATAAGTTCTTGTAGCCTACGTGGATCATTGCGTCACCTGCATGATACCTTGACCGTCGACACTCTCTTCCCTGCCGAATCAACACCCGAATTCCATAGTACCACATCGTCCAAGATCGGCAACGTCCACCGCACACACAACCATGGGGTTGGGCAAACTGTAAGCTTACCACGCCGAGGGCTTGTTCGTCCGATGACTGATATCCCGTGTAGGTCAATCCGCGTCAATGGCGCCGACTGTGGTGCCGAGGCCCTTCTGCTTGGTGCCATCACCAGCATTGGAGGTTTCCTCTTCGGATACGACACCGGTCAAATCTCGTCCATGCTCCTCTTCACCGACTTTAAGAAACGATTCGCTACCGGTGACATTGGCCCGGACGGCATCCCGGAATGGGTTCCTACTACCCAGTCGCTCATGGTCTCGCTCATGAGCATCGGTACCCTCATCGGTGCTCTCTCCGGTGCTTACACTGCCGACTGGTGGGGTAGACGAAAGAGTTTGAGCTTCGGTGTTGTTGTCTTCATCATCGGAAACATTATTCAGATCACGGCCATGAAATCATGGGTTCACATGATGATGGGTCGCTTCGTCGCCGGTCTCGGCGTCGGTAACCTTTCCATCGGTGTCCCCATGTTCCAGTCCGAGTGTTCTCCACGTGAGATTCGTGGCGCCGTCGTCGCTTCCTACCAGCTCCTCATCACCTTCGGTATCCTGATCTCCAACTTGATCAACTATGGCGTCCGCAACATCCAAGAGTCTGACGCCTCGTGGCGCATTGTCATCGGCCTTGGTATTGGCTTCTCCCTGCCTCTCGGTCTGGGTATCCTTTTAGTTCCCGAATCTCCCCGTTGGCTTGCCGGTCGCCAGGACTGGGAGGGCGCACGCATGTCCATGGCCCGTCTGCGTGGCCTGAAGGAAACCCCCCACTGCGAGCTCGTCGAGAAGGATCTTCAGGAGATGTTCAAGGTCATCGAAGAGGAGTCCAAGACCGGCTACGGTACTTGGCTCGAATGCTTCACCGGATCATCCGGCATCCCCAAGACCGTCTACAGGACGCTGCTCGGGATCTCTCTGCACTTTCTCCAGCAATGGACTGGTGTCAACTTCTTCTTTTACTACGGTGCTACCATCTTCCAGTCCGCTGGCATCCAAGACCCTATCATGATGCAGCTGATTCTCGGAGCTGTCAACGTCGCGTGCACCTTTTTCGGCCTGTACGCCGTTGAGAAGTACGGTAGGCGATGGCCTCTGTTCATTGGCGCTGTCTGGCAGACCGCATGGCTCACCGTGTTTGCCTCCGTCGGTACGGCTATGCCTCCCGAAACCAACAGCACGACTGGAATTGTCATGATTGTCTCTGCCTGCATGTTCATTGCCTCTTTCGCCAGCGTAAGTCTTTGCACCCTTGCATCCGTCAAGCTTATGAGTTGTCACGCTGACCTGTTCAACAGACCTGGGGACCTATGTGCTGGTGCGTCATTGGAGAGACTTTCCCTCTCCGCACCAGAGCGAAGCAGGCGTCTCTTGCTACGGCCGGCAACTGGCTCGGAAACTTCCTCATCTCCTTCCTTACCCCCTACGCAACTGCCGGCATCGGCTACGCTTACGGCTTCGTGTTTGCGGGCTGCAACCTGGCTGGTGCCCTGCTTGTCTGGTTCTTCCTTTACGAGACCAAGACTTTGTCACTCGAGAACGTCGATCGCATGTACAGCGATCCCAGCGTCAAGCCCTTCTCGTCCAGCAAGTGGGTGCCGCCAGGCTACATCACCCGAATGCAGAAGGACAACTCGGACGTACAACCCGCTTCGATGCACACCGAAAACACTGCCATTGGCGAGAAGACGAGTGATGACGAGGGACCTTTCGCGGAGCATCATCAGTCCAAGCAGGAGCCTTTGGCTAAGAACGTATGAATGTTTCATAAGAGACATGTTTGGAAATCGAAAGCATATGGTCTGTTTAGCGTATGGCGTTTAAACACCAGGATGGTGTTGCTTGTAACAATATAGCATACTGCATGCGTGACGATAATTTAAAACAGACAAATACATGACCAGTGCTTACTTCTTGCCTTCATCCCGTTTGTTCTCGTGTCCTGATTTTCCAGTCTACGCCGCAGCTGGCGGTAACTCACTTGTGACATTGATTTATCCATACCCCTTCAACGGTGTGTAATCCAGCGATTCTCGCTTTATAGGAACGATATGCGCTGTATGTCCGCAACTCACAAAGAGCAACAGTACCGATCATTGGTAAACCCTTGCTTTGCGCATCTATGCTAATTGATGTTCGCTATGCTGCTCTATAGTTCGACACATTGAGAGACGTCTATGATTGCAAGCAGATGATCTTACTGCACCTCGCCCGTACGCATGAAGATATTCGACGGCCTGTCGCGGTGCGCAAATTGTTCATCGACCTCATACTCGATTTCTGGGCCGTCCTGCTTGAATCCCAGCTTCGAGTACACATGTCTGCCCATGGTTGACGCCTCGAGTAGCAGTTCCAGCTCCCCACGTCGCCTGGCCTCCTCGAGACCCCACTGCACCAGCTTCTTGGCGATCCCCTTTCCCTGGAACTTGGGATCCACGGCACACATTTCCAGCACGAAAGCCGCCGGCTTGTCCGAGGTCGCCTTCTCGCGGACGACCTCCTCCCGACGTTTGTGCAGAGACCCCATGCACGCCGCGGCATAGCGCTGCTCGGCTTCATCACCAGGGAAGACGGCCTCGAGGTTGAGCTCCTTGATCAGGTCCTTCGGGAGCGGGTCGCCGTGGCCATCAACGGCAGACAACTGCACCCAGATAGCCATGCCTGCGATTACACGCTGGCCGGACTGATCGGGGTCCAGGAGGGTGGCCTTGAGGAAGATGGTGTTCGGCTCGCCCTTGTTGTTCTTGGTTACGGAGCCGTACCGCTTAGCCATGGACGAGGCTTGCTTGGCCTGGCCTTCGGGGGTGTCCCAGCCGGGGTTCATGGATATGAAGACGCCATCGTGGACCTGGTGGCCGAAGGCATTACTGACGACCTCGGCGACTTGAGTGAAGTCTTCGGGCTGCGAGATGACTTCGATCTGCACGTCGGAGATGGTTGCCATGGTTGATGAGGGGAAACTGTCAACTAGTTCAAGGTGGGGGTAAACCAGTGACCTCTTCGATTGATTTGTGTCCGCCGAGTGTCTAGATATTCGATCTAGGACAGCTAAACGGTAATATGAGATGCGGTCCTTAACTTTAGTAGCCGATCTGAACAAGTGTCGTCTGATAAACGAGTGGGGATGTAGGATAACCAGGCTAACACTATTCTGTGTGAAAGATCGTCAGCCAAAGCTAACCCTGCCTGACGCAGGAATCGCCCTGTTCTTATCGGAAATGGCCCACTGAACTCCGCAAATCGGAGACTGCCCACGCCAGAGGGCTCATCAATTAAGTGACTTGGTGCTAACCTAGGATGCGTTTAGACGGCGGGGGGGGGGGGGGGGGGGGGGGGGCGAGAAGTCGCCAACCCTAACCCTTTTGCTATCTTGATTGAGACAAGTGCACCTGAATGCACAGTAGTTAAGTTAACCACTCATGAAATTTGACAATTAACTTGGGGCATAATAATAGGAGGACGAGAATCTTTGCCGCGACTAGGCGTCCTAGTTCAGACTATGCATGTTACACTCATTAAAGCTGAGACCTCGTTTAGAAAAAAATGAGGTCTCCGGTTAGACAACCGGTCCTTAACCTTTGGTCGACAAAGCGACTTATTCAGTAGCTACCTAAGAACCCTATTTATTGTAAAGTGTCAGCTTCCAATTGATCTACGTTGAGAAATTCTATCAAAAACACAATCATCGTATGCAGTACAAACAGAACCGTGACATCTCAACCAAGAAGAGCTAACACTCGATCTCTTTACAGCTTGAGTGCAAAACACACCAAAATCCCACAGTCAAGCAGCTCCAACAGCAAAGTCCTTGACGATTTGGCATCGAGGTGCAGTGTCGTTGATGGCAAAGACTTGCTCAGGCTGCTACCTATGGCGTTGAGGAAATCAGAGGCCACCTCGAGGAAGGGCACGGCGTCGACGGATAGCCATATGTAAGCATGGATACAATTTTGGATTATAGACTTCCGTGGATCTAGACTTGTCTCTTCTTATCATATCTAGAATGGGGTATCCTTCTGGTTTACAGGACAAGTGGGTTTTCGGTAGTGATACAGAGAGAAGGTCGAGCAACTGATTCATATATTTATCTTGTTTCACATGAAGCAATGTCAAGACAGATTTGTTCCATGTGAGGCGATATAGAGGCTTCCATCTTGCTTGCCAGATTTGCATGTATTCCCGTTGCCGGGTACGATAGAGCTCCACCCAATAACACCAAAACGCTTATGGTATATAGATGGCCACTCCAAAATTGCTGTTGAAAGTACTTCCTGCGCGGAACTCAATGGTGTTCAACGTTCACGACTATGGCATACTAGGCTGCCGCAATGCATGGCAACCCCTCGAGCAATCACTAACGATATGCTCATCCAAACATGTTAAAGTCCGGCTGTAAAAAGAGGACCAGGCCATGAACCTTTCCCGACGTGACACTGGAACCTTGCGTTGTGCTGATTACAGCCTGGCCAGCAAGATCTATGCAGTGCCCGGCCGATATCGGCGTCGGCTCGGGACACGACATTCGATGTTTTCGTCAGAACCACTTGGAGGTTGGAACACTTCGCTTGGTGACCGCGACACACTGCTCCAAGTATTGAATACAGAGTACGCCGCATGGGACATGCCAGGAAGACGCCAAGTGGTACGCCTTCAATACCGTTTCCTCCGCCATGGCCGTGCCGTCGGTGCTGTATGGATGGGCAAAATGCCGTCCTCAAGCACAGAATCGACGAGCGAGCCCATAAGATGATGCTCGTCGCGGAGAGGGCATAATTTCAGACGACCATGGGATCCCCATGTCCGTTCAACCATCTATCGAGCCCCCGCGGTTTTCCAAGGCAAGAGTGGCGTGTACTCCGCCGCCATGGTCGGGCTGCTGGACAGTCACGACACAAATCGGGGGGGGGGCGTAGGTATTATGTGTCGCCGAGGAGAGCACGACGACAAATCCTCGCTGGTGGAAAAGTAAGAAGGCATATACGCAAGATCCGGGACACACAAGGACGGCGAGAACGTGGCCACCGCGTCCGTGGGCGTCAGACGAGCTCGGGTTTGCGCAGGGAAGCTGCTTACAAAGTCTGGAACACAGTGAGCATATACGACTGTACTTGAGCTGGTGCGTTGAGTGGGTAAAACAGCAGTCCGATTCCCCTCTCTAAAAGATAAAAATAGGCCACGTGGACCTCGTCATCGATAGCTCGCGGAGCGTGGGCTCATGCGGCTGCCGTGAATAAAGTTTATTCCGCAGTGTTACGGAGACACTGCCCAATGTACGTAGAAACTTCTTGTCCAGCTCGACTGGCGAAAGACGGAGACAAGAAACATAAGAGTACATACAAGTCGCCCGCACCAGCTTTCCAATCTACTTTGGGCACACACACACACACACACACACACCGCCCAGGGGTCTAGTAGCCCTCCTTCTTGTTCACGAGGTTGGTGAGCTTCCTGCCCTCGCTCAGCCTCTTCAGGTTCAGGTCCAGGATGGCCAGGACGCGGTCCTGGTAGCTCGCCGACATGCCGCTGATGTGGGGGGTGATGAGCAGGTTCTTGGCCTTCCACAGCGGGTGGCCGTCGGGCAGCGGCTCGGGGTCGGTGACGTCGAGGGCGGCGCCGCGGACGGTGCCGTCGTCGAGGGCGGCGACGAGGTCGTCCGTGTTGATGATGGGGCCCCGCGCGATGTTGGAGATGAAGGTCCGCCTCCCGGCGAGGACGGCGAGCTCGGGCGCCGCGAGCAGGTGGCTCGTCTTGTCCGTCAGCGGCGTCGCGACGACGAGCAGGTCGAGGCCCGAGCCGAGGAAGGCGTGCAGGTCGGCCTTGGAGGCGCCCGAGAACCACGCCGACGGGAACTTGCCCTCCGGGTCGCCGAGGCCGGGCGGCGTGTACGAGTTGTCGCGCCGCGACTCGGGCGTCGGCCGCGGGTGCAGCGTGTAGGCGTGCACCTTGAAGCCGAGGGCCGTGGCGACGCGCGCCGTCTGTCGGCCGATGCTGCCGTAGCCGAGGATGCCTCTTTGCGATGGAAAGTGTGAGATGGGGGCGGGGAACAGGTCTGGGTTGTTTGTTTGACTGAGTCAAGGAGTGCAGGGGCTTACTTACATTGTGCGGCCGACGGCGTCTTCGACAAGCTCGTCGCCGCGCTGCCAGTGGCCGGCGCGGTAGCTGTCGATGTACTTGGGAACTGGGCGCGTGTGTCAGTGTGGTTGTGGTTTTCGGCACCGCGCCTCACACGCTCGCTCATGATACATGTCTTACGGTGATGCTGGAATGAGAGATATGTCGTGATGATCCACTCCGAGATCTGAGGTCTGCCCCCGCCCGACAGTCAGTAAAGATGGCCACACGCCCGGGACCAATGGGTAAGGGACGCCCTCACCCGTGAACGCCGTTGGCGGTGCAGAAGCTCACGTTCGTGTCCTTGAACAGGGGGTCCTTGAGGATGTGGTTGGCGCCGGCGCTCTGCAGCTGGACGTACTGCAGCTTGGGGGCCTCGTCGATGGTGGGCAGGGCGCTGCCGGTCAGCAGGATCGTCACGTCCTTCCACTCGGCCGGGTCGAAGCCGGCGCCGGGCTTCTTGTCGGAGAACTCCAGCTTGTGATGCACGACGGCGAGGTCCGGGTACTCGGATCTCAGCTTGTCGACGTACTCCGGCGGCGGCGTCCACGACGAGAGGATGAGGAGCTTGTGGCCCTGGAGGGTTTTGTTCGGCGGCGGGAGGAGCATGATCACTGATTCGAACGGGTGGAAGGATGGGATGTGTGTGTGTGTGTGTGTGTGTTTTGTATGATTGTTATGATGTTTGTTGCGGGAGAAAGTCTCGAGAAGGGGGGAGAGAGGCAAATACGCTGGTTGAGATATTATGTATGCATGTACACACACAAACGCACACCCACACACTCGAGTAATGATGGTGACGATTATCAAGTCGGAAATGCGGGAAGTCTGGGCGGAATTTGGGGGGAGTTCGTTTCAGGCCTGATGGGATCACATATGCAGCAGATCCCCAGCTCTGAAGCTCCAAGCTTCCCTCCAAGCTTCCCCCTCCCTCCCAATCTTTATGGAATCCGTGCTGGGTGTGGGGGGTGTGTTGGACGCTTTGCGCGTCGCGGGGTCGGATGGCGCAACAGGAAGGTCTAAAAGCCGCCGATGCGCGGCCGACGCAGCAGTGTGGGGTTTCCTGTCAATGGTCCCTCCGACTCGTCAATGGCGTCAATGGTGTGAAAGGGCCAAAAGAGATCAAACCCGGCCCGGTGTCGGCGACCGGCTTGGGATGAAGGGAGGGGGGGGTGTTCCGCCGGACAACGCCTGCCGGCGACTCCGGCCTCTCGTTCCTCACCGTGGGAGTTTATCGCACACCAGGAGAGTCTATACTTGTGGTACCGTGGTATCGGCCAGTGACGTTCGTACCAAACTTGTTGATCTATCTCCTATCTTATCTATGACAACCGCCGTCTGGGATGAAACCCTGCACCTTATAGAATGAAACTTTTTGGCGACGCTGCGATCCCCCCACTCATATCTCTCGGGCCGCTGGCCGGGGGGTTAATTGTCCAGGTAATCCGTCTACGCTACAATGGATGTATGAATTGACTCTTGAGCCGGTCTCGACCTCTTCTCCCGAGTCACTCACGCCCATCACCCTCAATGGATCATGAAACAACAGAGAAGGCGGTGAGCATCATGGTGGATTCTGCCGGTACAGTTGGGGCGCGGGGAGCCGCTTTACTTCCCCACTCAACGACATGAGGCGCGCCCTTTGAGAACGGGTCTGTTTACCGGTCTTGTCTTCATAAAGAAGACGCTGTCCAGCCGCTACCAGTGACATCTTGGACTCAAAACAGGGCAAAGACATCCTCTGAGTGCCGCAATACTTCAGAATGACATCCTCAGGCCCGACCATCAGACATGCCCGTCGTGAAGGTAAGAATGAAAGCCACCAGCGCTACCATGAACCCCTTCCCCCCACCTACCCCTCCTGGCAGAGTCTGCAGTTTGGCCCGGCATCTTCGAGGCTAACGCGCCGCGGGAAGACGTTCCCATCATCCTGAGCCTTATCAGAGAGCTTGCCGACTACGAGCGCGAGCTCGACAGCGTCCAGGCGACGGAGGAGTCCCTCGCCAACACCATCGCCTTCGCCCCCTCTGATCAAACTACCTACAAGCCGGGCCACCCGCAGACCGAACCCACGGCGCCGAGCCGGCCGGCACGGTGCCTGCTCCTCTTCAATGAGGCCGGCGAGGGCGTCGGCATGGCTCTGTACTTTTACAACTACAGCACTTGGCGAGCCAAGCCGGGCGTCTACCTCGAGGACCTCTACGTACGCCCGTCGGAGCGCAAGAAGGGCTACGGCAAGCGGCTTCTCGTCGAGCTGGCCAAGGAGGTCGTCGCCATGGGCGGCGGCCGGCTAGAGTGGGTCGTCCTCAAGTGGAACGAGCCGAGCATCAAGTTCTACGAGTCCATCGGCGCCAAGGCCATGGACGATTGGGTGGGCATGCGCGTCGACGGCGACGCTCTGCCGAAGCTGGCGGGGTTGCTTGGGTGATGATGATGGTGGTGGTGTTGGTGGTGTTGTTGGTGGTGGTGGGAAGAGTGTCTAATCAAAAGCGATAAAGAAGAACAAACTAGTTTACTCCTTTCAGTTCTTTTGCCCGTCTACTTGGGGCCCTTTTGGTTTTCCCGTCACCATCGGTCGATTTCAATCTTTTCCCGGTGGGGTCGACGCCGCGGAAGAGACGTTGGTGGGCGGCGGTGGCCACGGGCAGCTCCGGCTTCTTGGCGCCCCAGACGGGCCTCGCGACGGTCGGCTTCGACTCCTCCCCGGCGGTCGGGGTCTCCATGTACGCGGACACCAACCACATTCGTTCGTATTCCCGCCGGATCTGTCGTGGGCGGAAGGGCTGCCGGTGAAACGGCCAGCCCCCTGCGCTCTTTGGCCGGTGCTTCGCAAAAGGCACCTTGGCGAGGGTCCTGGAGTACGGCCCGTCGTCCCACTGGCCGGTCAACCGTGTGAGCTGCGGGCTGCGTGGGCGTTCGACGTCGCGGGCGGGGAGGCGGGTGTGGATCGTCCAGTCCCAGTCCGGCCGAGCGCCGTGTTCTTGGCCGGCGGGCGCTGCGATGCGCCTCTTGGGCGGGAAGCGGTACATTTCCTTGGGCGCGTCGCCGGAGGCGAGCATCTTGAGGAAATCCCAACTGTCCCTGTCGATCGGGGGCATGATTTTGTCGGCGGTCAACTTCCACCACTTCCGCACAGCCTTGGTCACCAGCCGCTGCGCCGGGGGGCGGCCCCAGATGTCCTCCTTGGGCAGGTTGCCGTTCGGATCGGTAAGCTTGATGGGGTGTCGCGGAAAGGCGATGCTGCTGACGTTGTTCTGTTGGGTCTTCTGGGCCTTGATGTAAGCGTACAACTTGGGCATGTCCCAGTTTTTTTCGACGGGGCTGAGATGCTGGTATGCCCAAGGGGTAGGGTCTTGTCTATCGTAGTGTCGTTTCCAGGGATGGGTTTTGAGCAGCCTCTCCCTTTTCTTCCTGTCCCTTTCCATCTGTTCCACGCGCTCCTGGAGCTGGTCGGGGCCGAGGGGCGGTTCGGGGTCTTTGGCGACGAACAGGGACATGAGCTCCCGACGTTGCTTGCCCAGGCGGGCAAAGACGTGCCACATGAGGGTGCGCAAGCGTTTCTGGTCTCCGTTGGCTGAGGCGTGGAGAAAAGGTATCTTCGTCTTCGCATCGAGGAGGTGCTTCTTTCGCCGGTATTCTTCATTTCTGCGAGCTTGAGCAGGGTCGGGGGCACGGCGGAGGTTTGCCTCGCTTTCGGCGGCTCTCTGACGCTCTTTTCGGAAACCGGCTCGTATGCGCTCGTCGAGGAAGGGGCGTATTGTGGCAGGGAAGTAGGAGGCTGCCCGGAGGAGATGGCGGTAGACATGCAGCGGCTGGACGGGATGCGGCAAGGGGATTTGGGAATGAGGCATCGTGGCGGATTACAGGTACGGGTGCGAGGGCAAAACGCAGGAGGTGACCAGAGGGTTAGAGCGGGAGAGAGGCAGGTGACAAGGGCGTTGTATGTAGTGCGTCATGGCTATCGTGAGTCTGGGTCGGGCAGAGACGCATGTGCGATGTCGAGCAGGATGCATGCAGAGACGGCAATGCAGAGATTTGGAGCTTGAAGAGAGCAGAGCAGCGTAATGGACAAGCGATAAGATAAGAGGTCTGATAAGCAGGAGTGAAGCAGCCAACACACGTCACCATAGGTACGGAGTACCTAGGTAGGTGCCCAGCTTTCTGCAATGTACACTAGGTACGGATACCTAGGTAATGTAGGTACATAGGGCCTGGGATGGATACGTACCTCGGGCATCACGACGCGTCACGGCCTTGTCTTTCCTCCTCCAGCACGTGTACGTACGTACCTGCTCTACTTGCAAGCGTGTCAAGGAAGGCAGGTATCCGTACACATTCTCATTCTGACTACCTACGGTAGGGGTACGTACTGCGTACCACCTCAGACCGCAAGGTCAGACACTTTTTCCTGGTCTGTGCGTTTCTCGCTTAGCAAATGGGGAAGCACCCATTGTCTCCCTCTCGCCCTCGCACTTGTGGCCCCTTCCCTCAGGCAGGCGGACGCTCGCTCTCTGCATCCCGTAAATTGAGACGCGACACGACCAAGACACGAAAGCTGCGGCGCCTCGCGAAACCGACACGTCAGAATACACGCTTTAATTGAAATTCCCTTTCGGGCTCAGCGCTGCGGACCTTTTTTTTCCAACGTTCGGCCCCCCGGGCAACCCAGCCGACCAAAGAAAGAGAAACAGACCGTCGCTGCTCTGCCGTGACCTTTGATATATCTCTCTCTGTCAGTCAGTCGTCTATCATCTATCCGCCGGCCTGTTGTCTGTACCAGTCCGATATACCCACCCGCAAAGTCCATACATATCCTATCCCATTCACGACTTACGGATACTTGACTGCACTCTACCTACTCCATCCGCCCCCCGTCCCTCTTAATCTCCGGGGAAGAAGAGAAGAGACGTACTGTTTTGTTTGTATTGTCTCAGTCTCTCACCACACGACCCAAAAGACCGGCCCTCACTTTGTCAGGATTAGCCGCGCGCCCCCTCCCTCCCTCACTCACTCACTCAAAGCTTCGGCTACGCATCCCAATCCGTCAATCCATCCATCCATTCGCCTTCTACTCGCCAACTTCTTACTTGTCGAGATACTTTTGCTTTGCTACTCTGCTGCACCGCACAAAGTAGCTTTAGTCCACAACCTCCGCTCCGCATCGCATCGCAGCCGAACAAAGACACCATAACGACCAAGTCAAAGGTCACGGCCGACAAGGACGGCCGCTGCGTGCACGCGTTTCCCGACTCAACTGAAATCAACTCAACCCTTCGCTCGATCCATCTCTCCGCCCTCGCCCAATACCCTGCCGATCACCTCTCCTCTCGATCATTCCTCCCTTACGACCCCTCTCCGCATCCCGTCTTTCTCCCATACATATATAAATATATATACGCCCGCCCGTTGTCGCATCCTTGCGCCTCCCAGATGTTCTAGCGCTGGCACATGTCTTCGAGCGCCCTCACTACCACCACCTAACCCTCCCACTCCCTCCGTTCCCGCCCCAAGTCCTCCTCGTCCGCTGCGCAACCGCGCGTCGACCACGGGAGACCCAATCCCCTTACGACGATGCCTTCTGCATCGCAATCGCAACCCTCTTCGCAGCAATCCTTCACCATGAGCCAGCAATCCCAGCCTGGCTTTCGCGCCTATGGAGGGGACTCGTCCAAGCTCGCCAATGACGCGCCCCAGATCTACAGCGTAAGTCCCACCTCCTCCTGCATTCCCGCTGCTTGCTTGCTTGCTTGCTGTCCCTTGCTCGCTATGCCAACTCCTCTCCGCCCCGTGCCTTTTCTACCCGCAGTCGCATTGACAGTGCCACATCTAGGCCGTCTACTCCGGCGTCGACGTTTACGAAATGGAAGTGAGGGGTATCGCCGTTATGCGCAGGCGGCAGGACAGCTGGCTCAATGCGACCCAGATCCTCAAGGTGGCCGGCGTCGAGAAGGCAAAGCGCACAAAGATACTCGAAAAGGAGATCCAGACCGGCGAGCACGAAAAGGTCCAAGGAGGCTACGGCAAATATCAGGGCACCTGGATCAAGTTCGACCGCGGCGTCGAGGTCTGCCGCCAGTACGGCGTCGAGGAGATGTTGCGCCCGCTGCTGACGTACGACATGGGCCAGGACGGCGGAGTCGCCGGCCGCGGCGACTTCAACACCCCCACCAAGGAGCAGGCCATGGCCGCCCAGCGGAAGCGCCTCTACAACGCCGGGAACGAGGCGAGGACCAACGGCGCCGCCGGGCTCAACGGCACCTTTTTCAAAAATATCTCGGCCACCGCCTCCCATGCCGTCGCCGCCATCAGCAAGGCCCGCTTTGACTCCCCCGGCCCCCGGAGTCGCAACGGCCCGACAAAGGCCCCCAGCTTCAGCCGCCAAAGCTCCATGCAGAACGGCGACGACTTCCCCGGCAACTCCCAGCAGAGCTTCGCCTCGGACTATGGGAACCAGAACGACTCGGCCTACTCGACGCAGCAGACGAGCCAGCAGTTCGCCGACGGCCCCGAGCATCCGCGCAAGCGCCAGCGCGTGACCATGACGCCGCAGGACAGTTTTGCTGGATACACCAACTCGGTCGACATGTACCAGAACAACTACCCCCCCGGCTCGCCCACGGAACCCAACGAGTCCTTCATCTACTCCCAGGCGAACCCCCCCGCACACGACGGCTACAGCCCCCTGACCCCGCTGCCCTTCGAGATGTCCCCCGACGCCGAGTCCAAGCGGAGCATGCTGATGAGCCTTTTCATGGACTCGGCCACTTCAGATCAGTCCAAGCACGAGATGCTGCGGACCCTGGCCCCCATAGAACTCGACATGCCCATCGACCAGCAAAGCCACACTGCCCTTCACTGGGCTGCCACACTATCGCGCATGCCTCTGCTGCGTGCTCTGATCGCGGCGGGCGCGAGCCCGTTCCGGGTCAACGCCTCCGGGGAGACGGCTCTGGTCAGGGCGTGCGTCGTGACGAATTCCATGGACCAGGGGCAGTTCCCCGAGCTCCTCGACGTCCTGGGCGGCACCATAGAGATTCGCGACAGCAAGGGACGGACAGTACTGCATCACATCGCCATGACCAGCGCTGTCAAAGGCAGGAACGCAGCTAGTCGGTATTACCTCGAGAGCCTCCTGGAATGGGTGGTACGGCAGGGCAGCAACCCCAGCGGCCAATCGGCCCTCGCCAACGCCGCTGCCGCCAATGGAAAGGGGGACAATGGCAAGGGGGACAACACGCCGGTTAGCTCGCAGGCCGCCCAGACTCAGTCACAGCAGCCGAGGATGGGCATCGCGCGCTTCATGACGGAGATTGTCAACGCGCAGGACCATGCCGGCGACACGGCTCTGAACATTGCTGCGCGGATAGGCAACCGGAGCATCATTTCACAGCTGTTGGAGGTCGGCGCCGATCCCAACATCGCCAACCGTGCCGGTCTCCGGCCCGTGGACTTTGGCATCGGCGGCGATGCCTCAGAAGAGGGCTCCAAGGCCCCCAACGGCGCCAGCCCCGCCGAGGCGAACGGAGACGTCGAGAAGAACGGTGTCGTCAGCAGCGAGCGGGCGAAGGAGAGCAGCGATGACATAATCTCATGTGAGTTCCAACCCACCCCCTCGGACCAATCTCCTTCGACCCCTTTGAAAAAAAAAAGGTCACTTCTCTCTTTGAACCAATCTGACAAACGCCAGCCATCACGCATCTTCTCAACGAAGCAAGCTCTACATTCCAAGGCGAAGTCAAGACAAAACAGGCCGTCATCGAGTCCCTCCATTCGACGCTGCGCATCACCTCGGCGCAGCTCAGCGAGGCCCGGCGGAACCTCGAGGCGATGCAGGCGACACTGAGAAAACAGCAGCTGGCGCGGCAAAAGGTGTCGAACCTCAGCCATGCGCGTGAGGAGGAGCAGGTGCGGCTCACGCAGGAGCAGAAGCGCGCCGGGCGGACCGACTCCCTCTCGTCGTCGTGGGAGACGGAGCTCAGCGCGGCGCTCGAGACGGCGGGCACCAACGGCGAGGGCGGGCTGCTGCCCTCGGCGACGGTCCTCAAGGCGCGGCTCGCCGCCGTGTCGGCGCGGCGGGACGTCACACGTAAGATGGCGGGCGCCCTCAAGGGGCGGAGCAAGGACCTCGAGGTCAAGTACCGCCGCGTGGTGTCCATGTGCACGGGCGAGCCCGAGGACCAGGTCGACGCCGTCGTCGACGGCCTGCTGCGGGCCGTTGAGAGCGAAAAGGGCGAGCTCGAGGTGGAGCGCGTGAGGCGGTTCCTCGGCGGCGTCGAGGGCGTCGTACACTGAGTGCCTTTCACGCTTCGTTACCCACGCGCCCCCCCCCTCCGCTTTCCTCGCGTCTTAATACGAAAGAGAGGGAGAGGGAGAGAAAAGGGACTTGTCTGGTTCGAATTCCGGTCTATTGTTTCTGGTGTTTTTTTCGTCATCATCATACCCCCCGCCCACAAGTCAAAAGACTCGCTCGTGGCGATTGGGCCCACTTGGCCAATAGTATATATATTTCAAAGAGGAGAGACACACGCACACACACAGAGAGAGGGAGAGAAAGAGGGAGCGAGAGGAGAGGCATCGTCGAAATATCACTACTGGTACCCGCGTCGTTTTTGAGCATGCTAAGGGGGGGTTTGGGTTGGTGGCGTTTGGATTGGGCTTTGTGGCTCCGGGCTTCTCCCCCCCCTTTCGTTTGGTTGTCTTTCTAAGCATCTGGAAAGTGCGTGCGCGGGCAAGGAGGATATCTGATGACTATTGCTTTTTTTTCTTTTTTTTTTACACACATCCCCTTCAAGTTGGGCTTTTCCATTAAGACTTGGGTTGGGGGAGGGTGGAAAGAAATAATAAGAAAATCCCGAATTCGAGGTGGTTCCTCCTTCCACAGAGCAAAAAGAGAACGTGCTGGCGTGTCCCGAAATAAATAAATGTGGAAGATGTAAAAAAAAAAAAAATTTAAAATAAATACGGATAAATAAAGAAAGAAAGGCATGCCGTCAAAACGTTGAACGCTTCGCCTGCCGCCCGCCGTAAGGGAAAGCCGGGAATCCCCGCGTGCAAATTCCATCATCCCCCCCCTTATTGTCCTTGAACGCCTTGCAATGCTGTTGCGCCGAGAATGTTGATACATTTATGATGGCTGCCCCCCCCCCCCCCTCTCCCCTTTCTGCCGCTTACTCACCGCGCCAGGCCGGACGCGTATAGACCCTCCCACCGTTGCTCGACGCCGCCGACGTTCTTCTTTGCCTTTTCGATCTCCCTGTCGAGCTCCTCCACGTTGCGCGTCAGCGCGCTGACCTCCTCGAACCGCCGGGCGTCCCGTGCGTTGTCCACCATCTGCTGCACCATGAAGCGCTGCTCCTCGAGGACCACCAGCCGCTCGCGGGCCTCCTTTTCCTCCGTCTCGAGCGCCGACACGGCGGTGCTGGTCTCGCTGGCCTGGCTCGCCGTTTCCGACTCGGCGAGCTCCTGGTTGCGGAGGGGCGACAGGTGCAGGGAGGATGACGACCCGTTGACGCTGCCCGACTGGAGCGTCCGGAGGCGCGATGCCTGGGACGACCGGGACCGGAGGATTTGCGGGACAGATTTGAGCGTCAACATGTGCGTGTGCAGAAACGACGAGGCGGCGGCGTAGACGGCCTGCTGCAGGCGGAGCTGGGTCTTGGATGTCGTCTTCATATCGCGCAGACGGCGCGCGGCCGCGTCGTACTTTGTAAAGGCATCAGTGAGGCGTTTGCGTATTTTGGACGCCTCTTGGATCTGGGCGTGGGTCGGTGGCGGCCTCGAAAGTTCTGACCCATCCTCGGATTCTGGCTGCAGTGCCAGCAGGGTCCGCTGGAATATGGGCATGAGCTGGCGAATGCCGCGTTCGAACTGACGGAGCGTCTCGTAGGCGCGTTGGTCTGGCGGCTTGTAGGACAAGGTCGCCGCGAAGTCGCGCTTCGAAAATATCGTGTGGTTGCACTCCCGGCACATGCGGACGTCGATACTGAGCTGGCCGGGCTGCGCTGCCGTCGGGGGCTTTTCCGTTGCCGGGCTCGTTGCTGGGACTGTTAAGCTCGGTGCTCCCGATGGCCCCCCAGGATGAGACTCACGATTGGCTATGCTCAAGCCCACTTCACTCGAGCAGCCTGTAAGCGGATCGGCGCAAACCACGCGGCCGCATATCCGGCAGTGGTGTCTTCTAAACGTCCAGGATCCGAACTCTTGCTGGCAGAACGGGCACTGCGTGACGGAAGCGTCGTCTTCCCAGGTCACGACCGACTGCTCCAACAGCTTCCGTTGGTTCTTTTGGCCGGTTAGCGTGGCTACGGGTGCGAGCAGGTTCCCGCCGCCGTTGGCTGTGACATCTTGCGGCGCGTTCGCAAGCAGCTGCGTCAGCTTGGTCAAACGCTTTTCCAGCCTCGCCACTTCGAGGTTCTGCCTCTCGACCCTCTTGCGCCGGATGTCCGTAAAGGCCGACGTGTGGTCAACCAGAACGCCGTTGTGGTCGTTGTAGCCGTCCCTCGACTTGTAGCACGTTTCGCACACTCTGACCCAGTAGCCGCGCACAGGGTCGTGCTTTGCGGCCCTCGAAAGCCTCATCTGGTACATGGTGTGTTCCTCGCAGAAAAGCCTCCCGCAGTTACGGCAGTTTATGCTTCCATTGACGGCACCCAGTCCCTTGGGGCACGTGGGATCGGTGCATCGGTCGTTGCTCGTCTGGCGCTGCCAATGCGACCTGGTGATGAGCTCGTCGGGGTCTATAGGGCCTTCGACCAGTTTGGTCACTGTGGGCGCGGCAATGGGCATGGACTCGTTTGATTCGAAGACGTCGAGGCCTCGGAGTTTCTGGTTGATGATAGATAGCGGCTGGAAGCGCTTCGCCTTGAGGACCTGCTTGTCGAACCAGGTGCGGACTTCATCCTGCTCGACCTCGGGCAATTCTTGATGGTTGTCGTCGATGTGTCTGAGAAGGGGGTGTGTCAGAGACTAGAGTTCAGCGTCGGCAAGATGGTCGGCAGTCTTCACCTGTTTAGTTGAAGCAAGGTCAACTACTCGCGGGTGTCAGCAAAGGTCAAGACAACGGGGAAGGCGGCAGGCAGACTGACCATCTCGTCGTCGCATATGGGGCAGACCAGCTTGGAGCTCTGGGCGGCAGTGTTCGAGGGCCCGCCGAGGCTGACGTTTGAGGCAAGATCCTGGGCAAATTCGGGCAGGGGGCTCGAGACTGGTGGAGAGGCCGAGGACGAGTTGATGGACAGGGTGCTTTCGGAGGGAGCAAAGGGACTCGGGGTTCGTCGATGGCCCTGGACGGCGGGAGGCGCTGGAGGGGCGAGGCCCTTACCGCTGCCCAAGATGCGGCCGCCTCCCAGCTTGCGGCCGGACATGGTGAAAGTGAGGCGATAGCTACGAGACCATCAAATAGGAAGGGCGACGATGATCGGCGGTCCAAGTGGGCGGTGAGGATAAGACCGGGGGCTCGGGCTCGGGGAGAATGGCAAACCGCGGTGAGGAAGATCGTGAAAGGACGGGGACGGAGGGCCTGAACTGCACGCGACGAGCGGATCGGATCGGTCGGAGATGGAAGATGCCAGTCCTTCTTACTCTACGAAGTACAGGTAGTAGGTCTGCGATGTCGTGGTGGTAGTGGTGGAGGTGGTTCGTCCTCTGTGGTAGAAGGTAGTGCTGGGTTGGTTGGTTGGTTGGTTGGTCGGGTTCCAGTTCAGGTTCCAGAGTTGCATGTTCCCGCGCGTAGCCCGCCAGGGCCATTCCCTGCTGGGGAGCACCAACAGCAGCAGCACCAGAAGCACCAGCAGGAACAGGGGCTGGGAGAGCAGCGCTTTCGGCGGCATTAGACGCTTGGAGGGTGCGCTAAAGTGCACGCTAGGCGAGAGAGATGGGGAACAAGACCCACAGACTGGGTAGAGGCGGGGCAGCTTCCGTGCCGCCAGATACATAAGTACATAATTATCATTATATAGATACACCCAAACAGAGGTATCTCTCTATTGCGCAGACCGCCATGACATCGTCAGTGCGCCCCTCCTCTTGTAGGGGTTCCAGCCTTATCGGCCGCGTTTACTTCTTATCGCCCACCGCTGTACATAGGTACCTACCTCTACGGATACCTTTACCTCTATCGGTGCTCCTCCAAATAAAAAAGTCCGTCATCGACTCGACTTGTGCATATTCGACCAAACTTCCCCCCTTGTACCACATCATGGCCGAAAAGACAAAGACGAACAAGTTCCCCGAGGTCCGGGGCGGCGGGAGTCTCATTCTGGCCTGGCGGATCAAAGACAAGAAGGTCTTGGTCGTCGGTGGCGGCGAGGTACGTGACCGGTGCTTCTATCATCCCCCCTCCCCCGACTCTGCGATGAGGCTCGCTTCCGATGCTGATTATCTCCCTAATCACAGGTCGCTGCCGGCCGTATTCTCAACTGTCTCGACGCCGACGCCAAAGTTACCGTTGTCTGCCCGGCTTCCGGTCTCAACCCCGAGGTAGCCCACCGAGTCGAGCGCGCCCAAGTCACCCATGTCGATCGCCTCTTCGAACCGACCGATCTCGACGGCGCAGACATGGTTCTCGTCGCAATTGACGACCCAGCCGCCTCCACAACCATCTGGAAGCTGTGCAAGGAGCGCAGGATACCCGCCAACATTGCCGACGTGCCCCCGGAATGCGACTTCTACTTCGGCAGCGTCCACCGTGACGGCCCGCTGCAGATCATGGTCAGCACCAACGGCAAGGGACCCAGGCTGGCCGCTATTATCCGCCGGCACATCGCCAAGTCGCTCCCCAAGAACGCCGGCAACGCCATCGAGGCCATTGGCACCCTACGCGCCAAGTTGCGCAAGATGGTTCCCGATCCTGAGGCGAGCCCCAAGCGGATGGGATGGTGCGTCACCTTCCCTGCTCGCTGAAAACCCGTCTTGAGCCATACTGACAGTTGGCAGGATGATCAAAGTCAGCAACAAATACGACTGGAATGAGTTCTGTGATCTCACCGACGAGGACATGGAGAACCTCCTCAAGTATTACGAGAGCAACCAGGTTCCCACCATTGACGATCTCTTTTCCATGAGAGCAAACCCCGGCTTCAACGTCAACGAAGTGTTTGACGGCTCATTCGGCTTCTGCGTTGGTGTTTAAGACACGGACCATAACACGAAATACAACTGCACATACGGTATCTACGAACGGATATGGGTGTTTTTAAGCGGTATTTATCTCGGCGTCGATTCTCCTTGGGGGCTCTCTAGATGTTTTTCGTTGGCGGCATATCAAGGCTTCAAAAGCGGTTCTGTATGATGTATATATATAAAAAACACCCGGCGCATTATGGCATGCCCAGACACTTATGATGGGCTTGGGATCAAACATGAGGGAATACCTGACGCTGATGCTGTGTGACACATCATCAAGCTCCCCATTATGACTCGTACTCTACTACTCCACCGCGGAAATGTAAAATACGAAATGTGACATGAGCATGGATTCCGACATCGGAGCTAGACCGACAGCGTCAATAATATACCCTGATACTGGAAATACAGATCGCGAGTGTCATAGATCATAGATGACTCTCAATCGTGATGCGCTAGTTTCCGCCCCCCCTCTCACACCCCTCACCGGCGACGTATCCATAATGCATGAGGATACCGGCGCATTTGGTCCGAGTGACATTCAATCGCCGGCAATACGGTGCCGGCTCCGGAGGGGTGTGTGGATCCTTGCCGGGGGCCGGTCCCGTCGAGTGCTACTGCCAACTGAGCATCTGCCAGCTGGCGCCACTTCCGCTCTCAAACTTACACATTTCCCATCTTCACATCCATCTCTACCTTTGACAATCAACAACCCGCCCTGTTCTGCGCCGCGCACCATCAAATCGCCCTATTAATCCTCGATACGACGCGTATTCCTCGCCCAGAAACTCGACCTGACCATTTCCCGCCCTTCTGAACCGTCGGCTACAGAGCCAGTACGCGTCAAAGCTTCGCCTCAATCACCACACGCTCCTGCGCAAAACCAGCCACATCTTCCAACAATTACTGTGAAATCTGTCGAGCTGAGTTGCCACGCAAGACACCGCGATGCCTCCGCGCGGTCGCAAACGCGCCTCAGAGGTCGAGCCCGGACCGCAGCCCGAGAGTCCGTCTCCCTCTTCCCTCGATGATCGTGAGCCGCCGCCGCCCTTCTTCAACACCACCTTCTCCACCCATCGCGCATCACCACTCTACGTCGGCGCCAACGCCCTCACCTTTCCCCGTTTACAGACGCTCTCGCAACGCTTGCGCGACACGCTCGTGGGAGACGTCGTGAGAGGCGTGCAAGTGGGTCTGGAAGGTAGCGACAGCTCACTTGGACGCGCCGGGCCCCTCGAGAGGGTCGGCATCCGCTGGGTCGGTCTTGGTGCCCTGCTCGGCGGCGCAATCGATGCAGATGCAGACCTCAGCCAAGACTTAGGCGGCGACGTGGCGGGCAGCAATACGGACCTCAAGAAGAGGGGCCTGGTGTTCGAGATCAAATACGAGAACGCGCTATGTACGGCTGTGCTGCTGCCTGCACTCTCCGACAAAACAAAAGATACGCGACAGGACGGACTGGCTGCCAACAAACTTGAGATACCCGGATTGCTCAGCAATGACAGCTCGGATGAGGGCAACTACTTTCTGAATCTGCCTTTGCTCCTCTTGCGCATGCCGGCGCCCCTGAAAAGCCTCATCGTGGACTTCCTCTCAAGCACCTTCGATTGCCGCATCAGTTCTATGCGCCTCGGCACAAAGAGCCTCACCTCTGCGTGGGAGAGGTGGATCCAGGACGCTGGGCTCCCCTCGCAAGGCCCGTTGGCCAAAGACATGGTCTTGACTTTGGGTTTCTACGTACCACCTCCCAACATGTCCGAGGGCAACGAGGAACAGCATTTGGAAGGGCTAGGGATCAAGTCCATAGATGTCATCATTCCGGCCGAGGAGCTACGGAGGTTCGTCAAAGAAGGCCAGGGTGTCACAAACCCTGCGGAAACTAGCAAGCGGAAATCAAGCAGCCAAGGATACGAGGGCGATCAGAGAAAGAGAAAGCGACTGGCTGGTGGCAAGGCCGACGAGGGTTGGGGATGGGTCGAAAAGGGCAACGGCGAAAAGCCGGAGCCGTTCCTGCGCGCCCTGAGTGCCTACTTGGACAAACATCTCGCCCTGAACCTCTTCCATCCTGGGGTGAGGGTCACCAAGGTCGCTTGCGGCGGATTTGTGCTCTCGGAGGGACGAGTCAAGGTGTTTTCACCGCCTGGCACCGACGACGATGACCAAGTGTACAAACCCATCAAGAACCTTATCGGAGACCTCATCGACAGCGCCGTATCTTGAGTTTCTTGTGTAAGAATCGAAAAACGACAATCATGGTCGAGCTGCACAATACGAATCTGTCGAACATTCCCAGCTGGATAAGCGACATGGCGGCAGAACAGAGAGTTGGCCACACTCTACAAGCCCCAACCACACACTGTTCCTCGGCCAAGCGGAATACAACACTGTAAACGGACCGCAGGTATTGGCGCAGAAATGGCTGCCTCAATGCCGGTGCGCGATGCCCGATCAGGAATCGGTCCCTGCTTGGCCGCATGGTTAGACGAGTTATCCGATTGGTGCTTGTTTGTCCGGGATTCGTCCAGCGATCTGGTCATCTGACACAGCACTTAGCCAGTGGGTGAAGTGGGAGGTGAGCAAGCAAATCCAGTCGACGACGCTCGCACAAGGGACAGTCATCTAATTTCTGTCTGTCACAGACACGGAAGAATAGGTTTAAATGCACGTCACACGGGGCGATGCCTTGATGTACGTTGCATTAGTCGTTCCCCTGACGTTGTCACAAACGTTGGTTCGGCAGCTGGGGAGGGGGAGGAGAGCATTTACAGGCTCGGATAATTCGCGCGTTCGCGACACTCGGATCCCAGCCCAATGGCCATTGTTGTAAGCCTTTCTTACACAGAGCTCGCAATCTATCTGAAATCCACATGGTTATCCTTTGACCAGGCCAGCGCATTCGGAGAAACTCATCTGGCTAATGTCGCTGTCGCATTTGGCCCAAAGGGCGAACCCGTTCAGCATTCAGCCGGCCGCCGGGCCCCCCTCGTGCTTATTCTTCCGCAAACTGGGGACGTTGACGGCTTTGTTGCCAATTTGCCGGTACCTGAACCGGGGACCCCTGGGCTGATCCAGGGTACCTTTGTGTGCCATCACGGGCTGTTACCACCGAAGTCCGACTTCCACAGCGGGCTGCGATCCTTGTCTGTATGAGTGCGAACGCCTCACTTCGTCTTGAGCCATGTTTAGAGGACGGAAAAACTATGGTCGAGATGATGTATCGCATGGAGGGATGGATCCGTCATTCGAGGTTGTTCTTGCGTTTCTCCTGTTATGGGCTATAGAACCTCCGCATTTGCTTGCGAGGTGGTTTCCGAACTCATATAAAGGCTGCCCGAGGTTTGGCACAATCGTCGGTTCTTGGCAGAGGCTTGTTCTTCAGCGACCAAAGCCAATCCACTTACTCTTTCACGCACTTTTGTCCCATCAGCCAACCTCAGCCCAAACCCCCAGTGTCCTCGCCATGAAGTTCTCCATGAGCCTCGTCTGCCTGCTGGCGCCCATCACTGTCCTCGCGGCCCCGCTTGAAGGGGGCCTCGAGCAGCGCCAGGCCGCGCAGAGCGTCGACCGGCTCATCAAGGCCAAGGGCAAGAAGTACTTTGGCACATGCAGCGACCAGGGCCGGCTGACTAGCGGCAAGAACGCCGCCATCATCAACGCCGACTTTGGCCAGCTCACGCCCGAGAACTCGATGAAGTGGGATCAGATCCACCCAAGCAGCGGCCAATACAACTGGGCGGGAGCGGACTACCTCGTCAACTTCGCCCAGCAGAACGGCAAGCTAATCCGCGGCCACACTCTGGTCTGGCACTCCCAGCTTGCTAGTTACGTCCAGAACATCAGGGACAAGGCTACCCTTACCAAGACCATCCAGGACCACATTAGCGCTGTTGCTGGCCGGTACAAGGGCAAGATCTACGCCTGGGTGAGTTTGTCTTTTGTTCCCCGGGCCCTCTTGGGATATAAGGTGCCGCTGCTAGGAGAAGCCCTGTTTTCTGATTATGCTGCGTAGGACGTCGTAAACGAGATCTTTGACGAGAGCGGCAACCTCCGCTCGTCCGTCTTCTCCCAGGTCCTGGGCGAGGACTTTGTCGGCATCGCCTTCCGCGCCGCCCGCGCCGCCGATCCCAACGCCAAGTTGTACATCAACGACTACAACCTTGACCAGGCCAGCTACGCCAAGACGCAGGCCATGGCCCGCAAGGTCAAGCAGTGGATCGGCCAGGGCATCCCCATTGATGGCATTGGTAAGTCCGGCGTCCCCTCTGTCGCCTCCCCTCCCCTCCACCTCTCCCGTACCGCTTTCACAAGATTAGAGGGGCAGGAAACGGGCAAAGGCTGACGAGCGAAACAGGCTCCCAGGCCCATCTCCAGGCGAACCAGGGCGGCAACGCCCTCGGCGCGCTACAGACGCTCGCCGGCAGCGGCGTCAAGGAGGTCGCCATCACCGAGCTCGACATCGTCGGCGCCAGCTCCAACGACTACTCGGCCGTCACCCGCGCCTGTCTGCAGGTGCCGCAGTGCGTCGGCATCACCGTCTGGGGCGTGCGCGACCCCGACAGCTGGCGCGCGCAGAACAACCCGCTCCTCTTCGACGCCAACTGGAACCCCAAGGCTGCTTACAACGCCGTCGTCTCGGCTCTGCAGTAAAGAGGCCCTGGGGCGGGAAGGAGGCGTGTGCCGTTCCTCCAGGCTCTGTGGTCGGAGAGGCCCCGTGCGGAAAGAAAAAGGAGGTGTGGCTGATCGAAAAGCCCTCGGGTGTCCTCCCATTTGGTGCCCGGGGCTGAATTCTTGGTATATATAACTTGAACACTTTTTTTGGCTTTTGTGCCGTACATATGACGACGAAATGGAAAACCAAATTTGCTTCCTCACCCCTTGTGCTTCTACGTCTATGCCTCGCTCGATGTACTATGTCCCTCGGTGATATAAGCCCATTTTCAAAGTCCCTTCTGGGTAAACCCCCCGACTCTGTTACCCATTACGCTTCATTTAACACCCTGCGCTTGTGCTGCCCGTCGAGTGTTGACGTCATCCATGTCTATCGTCGTTTAAGAGTTCGAGCGATGCAATCCCGCCGCCGGTGCTCGCAAAGCCCAGACTTTTTTTTATCTTACAGACACTGATCAATGCCTCAGAGTCGACTCTACGTATTCCTCGGAGCTGCTCAGCTAAGCTGCGTTTGGGATTCCTGTCATGGAGCAAGCGGTTGTTGCTAGACCCCGAGTTTCGGAAAGTCGTCTCCCTTTTTGCTGTCTGGACTTCGACTTGTATGCATATGCTTTTCCACGTTGGGGCAGCGGCCAGAGACCAGGCAGCGTTTGCATATTGATCCCCTGCTCACACCCTTGCGTGTATACAAGCCTTCATGGCCAAACCCAGCGCTATCCTCGGATAAGACGACCGGAGAGGGGCATTTAGTCGTGTCAATAGCGTGCCACTAGTTTTCGTCTTGGGGAGCCTAGACCCCCCCGTGCGCTGCGAGTATGATTCACATGCTTAGATAGTATACGCTGACCCTAGCGGCCTGCCAAAGGGTAGAAAGCTAGCTTATATGTGTCGTCGTGGACCTGACGTGAGACAAGCCCAGTATGTTCAAGATCAAATATGCACAAGAAGAACCCGACATGATATCCGCTCTGCCCCCCCCCCCCCCCCCCCGCCTTTACAACCCAAAAAACTTCATGTCGTCGGCGCCCCGGATCGGAACATTGTGCCCGAGGCCGTTGGCCCAGATACCCGTGAGGTGGTCGCCGAACACGTCGGTGCGGTAGTTGGCCACGGGCGCGTTCTGGGAGGACGTGACGGGCTTGTCCGGGTTGTAGCCGAAGACGCCGGACCACTGCTTGACCTCCTCCTTGTAGTTGGCCGAGTTGAGCGTGGCGTCGGCGCTGCCGTGGTAGATCTGCATGCGGGGGCGGGAGCCCGAGTAGCTGGGGTAGGCGTCGTGCACCCACTGCGCCCAGCGCTGCGGCGTGGATATGGACTTGCCCTGCGAGCAGGTGCTGTTCCAGCCGTTGACCGAGTTGGTGAAGAAGCAGCCGGCGGGGACGCCCATGTAGACGATGCCGGCGGCGAAGAGGTCGGGGTACGTGGCGGCCATGACGTTCTGCCGGTTCGTTAGCGGACATTAACCACAGAGAGCCGGCGGCGGCGGCGGCGGCGGCGGCGGCGGTGCTTACCGTCATCATGGCTCCGGACGAGGAGCCCGTCACAAAGACCTTGGCCTTGTTGCCGTTGTACTTGTTCAAAGTGTACTTGACCATGTTGGCGATGGAGTTGCTGTTGCCCCCGCCCTCGTGGGTGAGGGTCGCCCTGGACGAGACGTCCCAGCAGGTGCCGGAGTACGGCGACTCGGGGTAGATGACGATGAAGCCCTTCTGGTCGGCGAGGCCCTTGTAGGGGCTGCCGGTGAAGTACGCCTGGGCCGTTCCGCTGCAGTAGTGGATCGCCACGACGATGGGAGGGTTGGCCGCCAGCTTGTCCGGGACGTAGATGTACATCTTGGCGCCGCTGGGGTTCGAGCCGAAGTTGGTGACCTGCTGCAGCGAAGCGGCGCCGGCGCAGACGGCCAGCCCTATGGCCGAGAGGATCGTGCTGAACTTCATGGCTCGCTGTGGTGGTGCGCGGTTGCTGCAGGGCCTGCTGGTACGAGTTGCTGGTCTCTCTCCTCTGCTTGTCGGGGCTATCTTAGTTGGCGATAGCTTTGGTGCAAAAGAGGCCGGGATGCTGGCTCTTAGCAGCATCTATATATATATTCCCCTCTCGTCATGTTTGAACAAAGATCAAAAGACCGTAGGGCTCCTCGTGCAACCCCTCCATCATCTTGTTGCTCCACCCCCTGGGGTCATCTTGACAAGGAGGGGCAATGCGACTCCATCATCATCTATTTAGCCGGTTGGCCAAGCCAAGGGTGAAATCACTTCAAGCTTCGTCTAAGCGAATAGGGAAGTGGGAACCTGTTCATCCGGCCTTCTGAAAAAGCTTTCCTCCCCCCTCTTCGGCACTTACAACTGGTCACCCGCAAGGAAGAGTCCGGCGTCTTGTAATTCGTGGTTGGCGGAGAGCCGCTGCGTAGTGTAACATGATTAAAGCAGACCCTTGCAGCATGCACCCCAGGCCATGTGCGCCCGATATCGTGGTGTCGCCGATCCACGGCTGGGTAATCTGCTAGGGTAAATCCGCGGGCGATGGCTGATGGATGCCACCAACGGGAGATTTTCCCGCGCCAGTGGCGAGTCCAGGGCCGTCTCAGTCCGGGGTCGTCTTGGAGGCGGGGAATATCCCTGGATTTGAAGCATTGCATAGATGGATTATCGCGTCCAAAGGTTTTGCTCGGGCCTAGTCACATAATAGGCAACTGACGGCCGATATGGATGAAGTGCGAATAATCTTTTCTCCACCAATTCTGGCTATCCGATCGCCCGGCACCTCGTCCATGCCGTAAGACCGACTCGGCCGGCCCGTACAGTTCCTCCTCGTTCTCCCGTCCTCGTGTTTTTCCCCAACTGCTGTCTCGATCATCCTTTTGTCTATTCATCGTCTCACAAAGCTGTTATGGTAAAAAATAAAAATAAAAATAACAAAGAAGGTTCACATGTCGTGGGTTGTCTTAATACAGAAGAAAGAAACCTTATCTTTACCGAGAAAGACTTGCGGTGCGCGCCTGTCATGAACTCCTTTTAGACGTCCGGCATCCAATAGCCTGGCGACCCGTCGAAATTGGGGAATGTTGCAAAGGCCTGGGGAACGATTAATCAGCTTTCTTTCTCTCCCGACTCTCTAGATCTTTTGTAGAAATTGATGTACCGAGGAGTCGAGGTCGAGCCAGTCCGTTGTCTCCCAGCCACTCAAGAGGTTCGTCATGCCCTCGAACCCCTGCTGTTGGAAGACTTCGCCCATGTCGGCCGGCAGCGCCGAGTGTCTCGCGCTGTTGTTATTGTTGTTGTTGTTGTTGTTGTTGTTGTTGTCATCGTCCATCTGCGCCGGCTCGGCGCCCCCGCCGCGGTCCGTCTGCTCCGTCGCGTGCCGCTGATCGCGTCCCAGCGGCACGGTGGAATGGTACTTGGCCTCCTGCTGGAGCTCCTCGAGAATGACGCTGTATCGGCGGCCGGGACTCTCGGCCGCTGTCGCTTCCGTCAAGTGGTTCTGGCACCGTTCCGCGAGCTCAAAGAGCCCGTTCTCGCCGTCCTTCCGCCCCCGCTGGATCTCCCACACGTACACGACCGCCAGCGCGCAAAACGTCACGTACGGCGTCCACCAGAAGGCGTGGAACAGGGTCCCGTCGCTGGCCATCCCGTCGACCGTCTCGAGCGCGACCTTGGCGGCGTTGATGCACTCGTCCACGCTGTCCTCCAGCGCAGACCCCTGCTTGCTCTGAGAGGCCCCCGTTCCCAGGAGGAACGGGCGGTTGGCGTGCATGATGGCGTGGCAGTACGCCAGCTTGAGGGCGGTGTTCTGCCGTCGAAAAGACGGGATCAGCGACATTGGCCGGACCGTGCCGAGGTGGTGCGGCAGCGACTCGCGCCACCGGTGGAGGGCCTGGCCGTATTGATGCGCTGCCATGAGGCGGTCGTGCTTGGGTATGTGCTTGATGGCGTATACCTCGCGCGAGATGCCGTCGATGAGCTGCGCCAGTTTGGCGTGGAAGATCAGACTCTCGACGTGGCAGTCCATCTCGGGCTCGTCCCTCGACCTCCCCTGGGGCGTCATCTCTTCGTCGTTGACGCAGTCGGGGAAGTCCTGGTCGATGTCGTCGTCGTGGTACATCCGGGGGCGGCCAAACACGACAGACAGGTATTTGTCAATGGTGTAAGCCACCCAGAAGGTCCTCTTTCTGCACTGCGAGATGATGTAATCCCTGTCGCCGCTGCCCCTGTTGCGCCCGGATTTCCGATGCAGACCCAGCGCCGAGACGATGGGGAGGATGCTTCCGAAGACATACCACGCTTGGTTCATACGCGTCGTCTGGAGGAGGTAGAGGCCCTGCAGGATGCGAGACTGTGCAGACTCGAGCTTCGGCAGGCCGACCTCCATCTCTGTCAGCCTCAGGGCCTCGCAGAAGTAGGCGTCGCTGCGCCGCAGATCGGAACTCTGCTCCGACCCAACGCCCCGGACCTTGCTTTGCCGCAGCGTGACGATGGCGAGGATCGTCATGACGATGGCGGCCTTGGCGTGCCCTATGTCACGATGCAGAGGCCGGTTGCTATGCGCGTTCGCAAGCAGTGCTTCGAACCACTCAGAGACGTACCCTTGGTGCAAGCAACGGTATGTCACCACGCAGACGTCGAAGTAGAAGCGCATCATTCCCAAGCCCGTGGCCCGGTCGGGCAGGGTGGAGGGGTCGAGAGTCTGCGATTCAAACGGCTTGTCGCCTGCCCTCGTGAGCTTCTGGTGCTGCTCGACGCCGCTGGGCATGTGCCCCGGAACGCCGCTGCCGCTGGATCTCTGTGATGAGAGCCGCTTCCAGGCCCGGTGAAGGAACGACAGGCTGGACGTGTTGTCAAAGTACTGGCCCTCGATCTCGGCGATCTCGACTTCTGGCGATGCCCGGGACGTTGGCGGGAAGCTGCCGTTCCCCCCGGCATCCGGGTTGGCGACCCCAGACTCGGGAAGTGAGGGCCGGGCAGCGTTCCCCATGGCCAAGCTGGGGAAGGCGGCCCCAGGAGGCAGAAGCTGGAGGGGCGCCTTGGTGGGAAGTGGTCTTCTGCGACTGGTTAATCTACTCATCCTATGCAGCGCCTCCCGTGTTGGTGCGACGACAAACCTTTGGACCTCGATGGGAGAGAGCAAGGGTGCCAGCGTCGCTCCGGTTGTTGAATGCCGAGGGGTCCCGGTTGCCGGAGGAGGGGTCGGCGGCCTGCCCCGGCGGTAGCTTGCATCGTATATGCATGAAAGCCGCTTCCTCGTGCATACGTCGCAGGGGATGGTGCCGGAGCATTTCAGTTTCTTGGCCTTGCAGTAATCGCACGCGCGGCTAACTTTGTGACTCCTTCGTCGGTTAGCAGCCGCTGCGGACGACGACCGACCTTCGTCGGGCGAGCCTTCGGGCAGACTCCGTTTCCTTCGCTCCGAGCTGCTTAGCGGGAGACTTGACGGCGAGGGCTGAGAGATGTTGGATGCAGGAGTGGGTACACCAGGGCCGCCGTCATCCCGGAGACCAGCATCGGTGGACGCTGTGGGTGCGTCTGCCATGCTATGAAAAGTAACGAGTATCCGAATCCTCCGACGACTGTTTGCTGACAGTTCCGCTGGATCAAGTCCGTTTCTCCGGAGGAGGGGAGGGGAGGGGAGGGGAGGGGAGGGATGGCAGGGAGGGGGGGGGAGGGGGCTACCGTAAAAGGTCCCCGGATTCAATCAGCAAATCACCAGGACCGGGCAGCTCGACTCAGAGGTTCTAGCCCCCACGCTGACCGAATATGCTACGAGGCGCTGCGAAGCCAACATGTGCTCTTTGCCCAATGCCGTCTCTAGCGTTTCCGTATGCGGCTCATAGTCTCCTAGGAGTTGTTGACACCAGAAGACTCAAGTCTGTCTGTGGGCGTACATTTGCGCGCGTAGTGTGACGTGAGGCGCAAAACTTGGAGTAAAAGGAGAAAATAGACTCGGAAAACCAATGCAGGCAGAATAGAGGGGCAAGGAGACCAGGGCGGCTGATTATTAAGGGGACCTTCGCACAGCCAGTTGAGAGCAGCAGAACAAACCCCCATATCCCCTCTTCCTTGTCCACGAAGAAGTGCTGTTTGGATGCGGGGGGACGGTTAAGACGGCCAGCCAGCCAGCCAGTCAGTCAGTCGCTTGTCCTCCTCCTTGGGAGGCTTACGTAGTAAACTCTCGCCCCCCCCCCTATCCCGGCAAGCCCGGGTTCATTGTCCTATTAACATTACTACCTCCCCTCGCCCCCCCGCCCCCCCCCCCCCCCCTTACCTACACGTGCCCCTTATTGAAAACTAGAATTCTATACTCGTACCTAGAGACTTGGATGTTCACGTGTGAGCCAGATGGCGCTAACTGATATCGCGCTTTCATGGCCTTCTTTCTCCTTGGGATTGGGGAAAGCCATGGTGCATAAACACTCACTATTACCTGATTTAGCACCTTTGTCCACCTAGTTGACTAGTCTCAGATCCCCGGAATAGTGTGGCATGTGCTTATATACTATGTACGTACAGCCGCAACAACGTACAGCCGCAACTGCGGGTAGAGATACAAGCTGGGCTTTGTTTTCCAATAAGCTGCAGGATTACTTGACAGCCCTAGCTACGTTACCCTTCATCACGAATTATTACAGGTACATCCAATCACTACGTCTCGATCCCTGTCATCCATCTTTGGCATTTAAGACCAGTACCTAATGCAGTCCAAAAGCTTACAAGCTTATTTGTGTGCCTGAGGCCTAAAGACATGCCTGAACACGCAAGCAAATCGGAGGAAACTCGCCTACATAGAGGCAGCCCCCGGGGGGTTTTTTATGTCCGGCTTACATTGCTGCGCAGTTTCACAGGCACTGGACGGGATGGTTGGCGGGTCGATCAATCGTTCAACCCGGCCGTCTCCTCTCAACTCCTATTCCTCCTCTTTGCCCCGGGTGACCCAAGCCGGTTCATATCCGTTTATGTCCGTTGCTCCTCATAAGTGAACCGCGGCTTCCAGAGCTACATTGCGCCCGCCCTTCCGAAATCCCTGCTAGAACCCGAACCGTCACCGCATCCATCTCCCCTTATAAAGGCTGTTCCTAACCCGTCTGACGTCGACGTGACGAGACCGAAAATGGAATGTAAATCATTCAGGGCGCGTGTGACATCAATCCCCTAGTGAACTGTCTACAGCGAGCTATAAGTCACATCGACTCGAGCCGTGTTATAACTGAGAACAAGCCGCACAGCCAACCGAAATTTTGCTCGGGATATCTCACGAAACACTCGCGAATCATGTCCATTGAGGTTTTCCACATGCGTCTCTCGCAATCCGAGAGGATCGTGTGGTTGTTGGAGGTGAGCCGCCGCGAGCCAGTCTGTGCCAGCAGCCACTGACGAATACATCAGGAGTTGCAAGTTCCCTACGATCTGCACGTCTGCGATCGCGACCCCAATTCTGCTCTCGCGCCCAAGGAGATCAAGGACGTCGTGCGTGCCGCAGACGTTCGCTGCAGGGTTTATGCCAACTAATCATTGACGTCAGAACCCCGCCGGTACTGCGCCGTATTTCCGCGACACCACAGTTTCACCACCGGTCGGCATCTCAGAATCGGGCGCCACCGTCGAGTACATTCTAGCCGTCCACGGCTCCAAGACCGGCTCCGGTGCACCTAGGCTGCGACGAACCCCCGACGACGCCGACTACGCTTCCTATCTCGAGTGGTTCCATTTCGCCAATGGTACCCTTCAGCCCGCCATTCTCCGCGGCATGACTCTCTTGTTTGCGGGCGCCTCAGAGAGCGGCATCGCCAAGCGAACAGACGCCAAGATGCACAGCTGCTTGAAGTTGGTTGACGACCGTTTGGCCAACAACAAATGGCTCGCCGGGCAGAACCTGAGTGCGGCGGACATCATGATCGTCTTTAGCCTCACCACCATGCGCGGTTTCTACCCGCTCGTGGACCTATCGCAATACGGTAACATCTTGAGGTACTTGAAGGATGTTGCAGAGCGTCCTGCTTATCGCGAGGCACTGAAGAAGGCTGAAGAGGGGATGGAGCCCATGATTGGACCGAAGGTCAAGGCCTTCAAGCAGTTTCCAGCGTTCGGTGCCATCTACGAGCCGCTAGGTTACTAGTGACTCAATAGAAGTAATCGGATTAAGAAGAAAGAGTGGAGAAACGCACTACTGTACGAATAGCATAGCCGTATTTCGTATTTTAGCTCTCTTCTCAGTTCGTAATACCACGGAACAACAACACCTTGGGTTAAATAGTAGGGCACGCAAACGAAAGGCGCTCACCCGCTGTACCGGTAGTAACTTAGACATGCCGCAATTTTGTCTAATAGAACTAGACAGCCAAAAAGCTCAACTCTCTTGACCAGCCTGGGGGTCGAACCCAGAATCTCCTGATGACTCGATGAATCGTAGTCAGACGCCTTGCCATTGGGCCAACCGGCCGTGATGATGCAAACAATGCTCTACGAAGGGTGGATGACGCTTCCGGCGAGCTCGAGGAGGCTTGTAACACTAGACCAAGAGCAAAATTGCGCGTTACATCAAGTACACACAGGCTGTGTTCTTGACGTCCTAGGGGTGTTTCGTATGTGCTGCATATTCTCGAAGTTGCGATCACTTAGCGGATTTTTCGAGGGCCTTTCATCCCTAAACCGTCGTTGTAGTACATTCTGAACACAAAGCCTCTTTGTTTCTTATTAGAGCAGAAAGACTTCTAGCAAGCTGAGATGCTGCCGTGCTGATTACCGTCTTCCAAGAGCCAGGAAAACAAGAAACTCGAAAACCGCCTCCTCAACCATTACGATTTGACGAGGGTCAATAAATGAAACAATTCAAATTCCCAGTAACTATATATCGTAAATCATGGCCTCTGACTAGATGGCATACTTGAACAATGGGCTCTTCTCTCCCATGCGGTCAAGTTCCTCGTCGGTATACCTCTGCCTGACGTCCTCCTCGCTAATGAGCGCCTTCTTCTTGTTGAGTCTATACAGTAGACCCTCGAGCGTAATGGCAGCAACAATGCCGGCCGAGGCAAATGCGAATGATGTGCCAAAGCCAGTGGGGTACTTGGGTGCTTCCTTTTCGATGTAGATGTAGCTGCCAATAAGGCCGCCAATGTTACCGACGCAGACCAGGAATCCGATACTGATGGCTCGCTTCGTGGGGCTCGGCGTATTTGCGACGTTCCAGGCGTTGACTCCAGGCAGAATCGGGTACATGCTGGAAAGGACCGAGTTAGCTTTACGTGTCTTCTTCTATCGGCAGTATTAGGCCCTTGACGGAAGTACAACTTACCCGAAGCAGGCGAGACACACGGCAAAGTAGCAGAGGGCAATATTGTCCTTGATGTCGGCGGCCTTGGCAAACAAGATGCTGAAGGCAACAACAAGGCACAGCTGCGGGCCGACGATGAACGGCATACGCCAGGAGTGGCGGTCAGCAAACACGGAGAAGACGTAAGCCGACAAAGCGCCGACCGCATACGGAGGAATCGTCAGGAGCTGGGCGTTGGCCGAGGTGTAGCCCATGTTCTTGATGATTTGGGGCATTGTGAACTTCATGGCGTAGTTGGGCACTGCGTTGGACCAGTTGACCAAGACCAAGAGATAGATCTTCCAGTCCGTGAGCACGGAGATGAATGCCTGCTTGTCGAAGTGGCTGTCCCGGAACTCATCCGGTCGGACGACCCGCCTCGATTCCTGGCGGAGTACGAGGTATCGCTTCTCGTCGTCATCGAGCCATTTCGATAGAGCGGGCGAGTCGATGAGGAAGAAGAAACACATCACGCCGATGGTCACCGTAGCCAGGCCTTCGAGGATGAAGATCTGGGGCCTGTTAGAAGACTTGCACCGGGATGCTGATTTGCGTGAACTCACCCATCTCCAACCCTCGTAGCCGCCGACACCGTCCATCTTGGCGATACCAAAGGCCAACAGTCCTGAGAAACCTCCTCCGGACGCCGCGGAAGTGTATAAAAGAGCAATTCGAGTTTGCGTTTCATTGGGGAGATACCACTTTGAGATGATGAGGATAGCACCGGGAAGGAAACCTGCTCTGCATGACTTCGTCAACATCTCTATGCAAGTCGTCGCAGCTTTTCATGTCTTTATACTTACTCAAAGAGTCCGAGGAAAATTCGAATCGCGATCAGGCCACCAAAATTTTGAACAACGCCATTGCACGTCATGATAATGCCCCAGCATGTAACGATGCCGCCGATATACAGTGATGGTCTCTTGAAGAGATGAAGAACCATGTTACTCGGGACTTCGGCCAAAACAAAAGGGATGAAGAAGACAGAGACAGCAACATTGTACTGTACGCCAGTCATACCGAGACTGCCGAGCAATCCCTCGATCTTGGCGTTGCCAATGTTTGTTTTGTCAAGGTAGGCCATCAGGTAGAGGAGCATCAACATCGGGATGAGGCGGTGCTAGTGACAGCAGAGTTAGCTGATGTGCATTCATGGTGCAAAGACCGTGCATAGGCAGTTGACGGGACGGTCCAAGGGTTCGAGGATACGTACATCGACCTTGCTGACAGCCTTCTTCTTTTTCTCCTCGGGGAAGTTGGCGAGGAACTCAACATCTTCAGGCCTCATGCCGCCACGGATTTGATACTCGTCATGTTGGATGGACTCCTTCTCGGGGGAGACATTCTCGATGTCGGAACGATCAGAAGAGGTTCGGTCAACGGCCATCTTGCGTGGCTACTGATTCGAACAACGACGTTGAACAAATGTATGCAAATTTTGTGGACAGTCCCGAAGTAGCGAGGTATCCTGGACGAGGCAGTGTAGGTTCCAGAGATGGAAAAATTCTCGCGGCTCGGCTTTATAGCTAAAGGGCGCGCAACCGACGACTTCTCAACAAAACAGACGTGGGTACGCTTTTCTGGGAGACGGGGTCCGCCAGCAGGTTTCCCAGATGAACCTGGAGTTGCGGGGGCCAATATGGACAAATCTGGGGTAACATACTTGGCACTGGGGATGGGACCAGCCCGTTAGCGCAAAGCCACAAGGCGGTCTTATGACCGATAGGCTATGTGCTACGTGCTTTCGGACAACGTCCGGAAATTGTTCAAGTCATGAGGGCCGCCTTGTATCGCTTCCAAGGGATTTGACATCTTGGAACAGCCGGATATAACGGAAACGTCAACGAGGTGGTCTATCGAGGAGGCAGTTGAACTGGGTGGTGTGGGACGACTCTTTATGTACGCTATGCATTATGCTTCCGGACTATAGCCAACATGGCACAACCAATCATGGGGATGGAACGGCAGTCCCCTGTAATTCCTGGCTCTCGTGGCCCGCTTTCGGCTGGCCGGTTATGTAACTATTGGTAGAGTGTCCCCCCTCATGAACGTGGACTTGCCTGCACATCAGCCGCGGTTCCGGAATCAGCCCGGAAAAGGAAGTCCGGATGGAGCCCGGAAAAGCGAAACTGCATTTCCAGACAACTAAGGGCATGTGGAGACGGCGTAAAGGCCGCCAATAGGTATTGCACTTAACGATACCTTGCGTGAATGTCCTGGAAAAGCTGAGGCTCTCCGGAGCTCATAGCCGCGATTCGGCTCTTCGTTAGACGCGAGGACCCCGCGATGAGGGGTCGAGTTGAGAGTTCATTGTATTATAAAACAGGTCATGACGAGACATACATCTCGACCTTTCTTCTTCATCATCTTAACCAACACAATCCATCATTACAGTCTAGAGAGAGCATTCATACTCTGCATACCTTTCTACCTTCTACTACGAAACCACCTCTCACATACACAAACATGGGTTCCAATGCCGGCCTTGACCTCCGCGGTCTCACCCCCGCCCCCATCACCCCCTTCAACAAGGACGGCAGTGTAGACTACGACGCCATCCAGCGCCTCGGCTCATGGCTCGGTAGCATCGCCGGCGTCACAGGCTTGGTTGTTCTCGGCCACGCTGGCGAGGGCACCTTCCTGACGCAAGAGGAGCAGATCTCCGTCATCAAGGCCTTCGTCAAGTCGGTCGACAACCGTATCCCCATCATTGCGGGTATCACAGGCGAGGGAACCGAGGTCGCCGCCCTCGAGGCTAAGCGCGCCCGTGAGGCCGGCGCCGCGGCCGGCCTGCTGTACCCTTCGCACGGCTGGCTCCGATTCGGCTACCAGCCCGGTGCCCCTCAGGACCGCTACAAGAGAGTTTACGAGGTCAGCGGCCTGCCCCTCATCCTCTTCCAGTACCCCGACAACACCAAGGCCACATACAACCTCCAGACCCTCCTCGACATCTCGGCGCTGCCCGGTGTCTTCGCCATGAAGAACGGTGTCCGCAACATGAGGCGCTGGGATACTGAGATCCCCGTCATCCGCAAGGAGCGCCCCGATCTCCAGATCCTCACTTGCCACGACGAGTACCTCCTGCACACTGCCTTCGATGTCGACGGCATGCTCGTTGGATACGGCAACATCGCCCCCGAGCTGCTGATTGAGTTGATCAAGGCCGGCAAGGCAAAGGACTACCCCAAGGCGAGAGCGATCCACGACAAGCTGCTCCCCGTCACCAAGGCCGTCTACCACAGGGGGTCGCACATGGAGGGCACCGTTGCCTTGAAGCACGCGCTCGTTGCAAGGGGCATTCTGGAACACGCCACCGTCCGGTCACCTCTGCTTCCCTTGGAGAACGGTGCCGAGGAGGAGATCTTCTCCGCCGTGTCGGCCGCTGCTCTTTCGCGTGTGAAATAAATGTAACCTTTTTTTTCTTCAGTCTTTTGTACATAGACGACGGATATCATGATAGACGATGAGCGGAAGGATACCATTCAGATACATCAGAATAACCAAGACTTCCAAAATGACTTCCCGGCCTTTCCCGTGACATTTCCTCTGCAAGTGAAGCTATTTCCAGTCTCCAATTTGTGGTATCCTCTTGTTTCCCTCTAGTTTATCCACAAGTACTCCGAGTCCCAAGAACTCAAATGTCACGATAGCTTCATGCATTTCCACCTTCTGTGACAGCCCTGTTAGGTGCTGTAGCACGTGGTGTTTCACATTCACTTCCCTATATATAGGACCTCACTTTCGTTACTTACACTTACATAGAAATGAGCCTTTTAGACCTAAATCCTCATATGCCCTGCTGTGTGCTCTAACTCGTGACATCAAACTACTCTAATGGCCGCTATAACATCTTCGACTTCAATCACTACGGAGTTTAAGAGGTGGCAAACCGTTTGATCCAAGCCTTCAGCAGCAACTCACATGTCTCTTGCAACGCTCCTCCTGGATCATGAGGAAGACTCCAAAATGGAGGTGGTCCATTCATCCCTGCGCCGCCAAGTCATAAGTAGGTCGATAACCGCGCAGTAAGATACATTTAAGAGCCTCTTCAAGGAACTTCGAGCTTGAAGAACCCTCGACAGACGAGATAAGCGCATATCCTGGTGACCAGGGTCTGGACGCGCGCCGGAAATCCAAACCGAGACACGGATAAACCTAGCCGCGGTTCACTGTGCATGTACTCTGTCAAGGCACGCTGGGTCGACGAGGGGCGTTTGCCGAACGATTCTGACAACTCAACAAAACCCAGCCACCAACATTAAACCTGGCAGCAGGCATGCTGAAGCTGTTCTTCCGTTGGAGGATTCGCCCCCGCACACGACGCGGATGGTGCCACCTGACGAGGTTTTCGCTAACGAAGCCCTGGTGAAGCGACAAGAGGGCACGAATACGACGACCGGGTTTCATAGCTTTCAACCAAGAATGTGGATGCTCGGTTTTTGCGCAGCCTCGGCACTTATTCTTCGCGATAACCAGCCACGGCAAGCCGATGGAAGACACAGCAAGAAGCCTTATTTTATTTTGCTCAAAGATACTCTAATAGTTTTCCGGCTACTTGTTGGTCGTTCTCTCGGATAGCTTTTCCGGCTGTCTCAGAAGCCAAAACAGTGATGTAGTCCATTGTCGAAGCAGTGTAAGAACTCATTCGACGAAACAAGCATACATATTCTTTTAAAACAATAACAAGATGTCATAGTTACAGTAAGGGCCTGATTGGCTCCACTAATATTATTTAACACTTTAAATAAGAACTAATATCACAGACTAAGAACTAGCCACAAGTACTACAAAACTTAAATTATACTACACTAGGCTAAAAACAGAACTATATATTATAATTTAACTTCTATATTATAGAACTTTAATAGTATTAGAGTAGGCTGTATACTGCCCTAGGATGTGATTTTTAGTGTTAATTCTACTAACTATTTTACTTTCTCTATATAAATTATTATTGATCTCTAGACTTAGGAAAAAGTTATAAAAAAGTAATATTTTATTTTTGTTGCACTTTGGTGCGGGTACATTGATTGTAAATTTGATGCCTCTTCCTTTTCTAAATAGGCAGAGGATTTATCTACAAATAGTGGTAATTTCCAGGTATAAACGGCCAAATAATTCTCCGAGAATTCCTGGAGAATTCCTGGAGAATTCCTGGAGAATTCCTGGAGAATTCCTGGAGAATTCCTGGAGAATTCCTGGAGAATTCCTGGAGAATTCCTGGAGAATTCCTGGAGAATTCCTGGAGAATTCCTGGAGAATTCCTGGAGAATTCCTGGAGAATTCCTGGAGAATTCCTCCGCCAATGTTCCCAATATTCCTGGGGCATTGGCCAGCCAATGGCTGGTTAATATCCCGTACATTACAGGGTGAATCCTCCATAGAATGAGCATTCTGTAGCGTAACAATTTTTTATACTTTAATTATAATAATTGATTACCATAATGTTAATTCTATTATTAATACTTTATATTATTAGCGCACAAAAAGGTGTGCTAATATAACCGAAGCTTATAACCAAAACACTAACACAAAGGGAATGGCAGCGTCTTCCCAATCAGCAGTCCTGTCAGATGAGGGCTCTTCGTACCGTTCCTTTGAGGAGCTCCGCGGTGATCCAACTATCGCCGTTGTCTTCTCAGCTGCCGCTAAGCGTCTCTTTTGGCCCCTTGATGGCGTCTTCCCTACTGCCCTCTCTGTTATGAAAACGCCCCGCAGCGCTAACGATCTTGAGCCGTACTTCCAACAGACCCTTGCTGGCGGCATCTGGCATGAGATTGCGCAGCTGCCTCTGACCCAGCCTAAGGTCTCGTTGGTCGAGGCGTCTGTCTACGACCTAGAGCAGTGGGAGTTCAACTGGGTAGCGTGGCACACGCACCACGAGGGGGAGCCAGCTAACCCGGAGTATGTCACGTATGGCGATCTGAGCGATAAGGATAGGCCCTACGCGGCGGAGCCTAAGGAGGACGGCAGCTGGGAGGAGGACTCGGACACGGAGTTCCTTGTCCGGTGCTGTGGACAGGATCGACCGCTCCGGAAGAGGGGGCAGAAGCTTGTGGTCACGCCGGCTGCGGGCGGTCACTTTGTCACGATCCACGACTACGTCAGCGGTGAGTCGAGCTTTGGCATGAATTTGGTCGAAGCGTACTTTGGCTAACGATGGAAAACGACAGCTGTGCATCCCTGGCTCATGGCCTTGCGTCCTGAGATCTTGCTTGCCAAGACGGTTGCACAGCCTGAGCCGTATCCTGGGGCGGCGGAAATGGCGTGGATGGTGGACCAGGGGCCGGAGCACAAGGTAGAGGCAAAGCAGAGCTGGATCCAAGCACATGGGGGTGGCCCGCAGCGTCCTATACCTGCCTCGACGGCCGCGATTCTCGCACGGATACGTGCGAGTCGAAACAGGTGAATTCGATGCCTATGTTCTTTTTTATCAACTCGGAGTTCATTCCATACTGGCCTCAACGCAAAAGATATATTCACTAAACTAGCACTAAACTAGCCCTCTCTAGATAAATATGCAGTTGCGTATCGTACACGATGCGCCAACGAACCACCTAAGAAGCCGCCGTGGCAGACGCGCAGTACGAACTCCCATACGCAATGACTGTCGATGCCGTCACTGTGCCACACGCCCCGTTGGCGCAGTCTTGCAGCCCGTACCCAAAGTTGACATTCTCGCAGAGGCACGAGGGCACGGGGCTGGCGCACCCCAGAGCCGAGTATTGCGCGATCATATTGTGGAAGCATGTCTGCCCGCACGACGGCAGCGCGGCCAGCCCCGTGGCCGTAGCCGTGTGCGTGGCAAACGCTGTGGCGCAGTACGCGCTGCCGAAGGCGATGGCGCTGCTGGCCGCCGCGGCGTCGGTCCCGCAGGCGCCGTTGGAACAGTCACGCAGGCCGTTGCTGAAGTTGGCGTTGTTGCAGAGGCAGTACGAATCCTGGGCGCTGGCGCAGCCGAGGGCGGAGTACTGCGCGAGCATGTTGTTGAAGCAGGTCTGGCCGCACACGAGAAGGTCGGATTCGCCGGGGACTACAGTGCTTGGGGCAGTGGTTGCGGTCGGGGTCGTAGACGTGGAGGTTGTCTTAGGGGTGGAGGAGGATGAAGTCGCCGTCATAGCGGGGGGAGATGAGGTTGTTGAGCTGGAGGAAGAGCCCGACGAAGGCGGGCCCGAAGGCGCCGACGGAATCGTGCAGTTTCCGAGTTGGCACACACCGTAACCGCAGTAGTCCGCGCCCGTACCGCAGTCGCCGACAGCATTACAGCAGTCGCCCCAAACGCCAGCGCATTGCTTGTAGCCGTGCTGCGAGCCGCATTTGCCGTCGGTGGTGAAGACGGCGTCGCCAGCGCATGCGCCCTCGTAGGAGGTTCCGTCTGCGCAGTCTTGTCTAGGATTTGGGGAAAAGTACGCGTTAGTATAAACGATGTTGAGACGAGATTTGCTTGGATGATGTGGGAGATGGACTTATGTTGAGTTGCCGCACGTGAAGGTGTTTGCGTTGCAACACTGATATGCTGTGCCTAGACAAGTGGCATTCCCGTTTGGAGGACCGCAGAGTCCGGCCGTGGCTCGTACAGGCTCAATGACTGTTTGTTTAGAGGTCAGAAGTCAGCTTATCAACGCTTAGAGACAGGCACGCCGTGTAGCATCACTTGGTATCTTACAGCCTTGGACGCAATAGTCTGTATCAGGTTGAATGTTGGAACAATCAGTCTTCAGGTCTGGGTTCAACAAGAAGGTCTCAACACTGATTCCGTATTTGGTAGCTAACGCGGTACAAGTGTAGTAGTTGATGTCCATGTCTTCGGTAGAGTCCGTGTACCGACAGTTGACTTGGCCCGCAGCGATGTTTCCATTGGTGATGACGGGGCTGATGGTGACCGGCACAGTGGCGTTGGCAGTAGACGTTGCGGCCGCGGAGCTGAAAATGGAGGAGGCAGAAGACGAAGCAGACGTGACAGAAGATAGCGCCCGCTTCTCAAACTGCCCCGGTAGCCATGTCGCGGGCGCGCACTTGTCTGATGCTTGGACTGGTATGGCTTGACCGATGATACGGCGGCGTTCCAGACGGCGCTGTACGCAAGTCTGGGCAAAATCCTCTTTGTCGATGCCGGGGCGTATATCCTGACCTCAACCATCACTATTCCTTCAGGTGCCAAAATTGTCGGGGAGACGTGGTCACAATTGGCTGCGTCGGGGTCATATCTTAAGGATGCTAGGTATGTGGCGTATGCATCCATGATTACTTGACTGGCGGGGAATCTCACCTCTTTGTTCCTTGACTCTATTGTCGCTGACTATGCTGCAGTAACCCTAAGGTTTTGATCAAGGTTGAAAATTCTGGTGATATTGGCAATGTAGAGATGCAGGACCTCATTTTCACAGCACGGGGTCCAACCGCCGGTGTGATTCTCGTCGAATGGAACATCCAAGCGGATTCCCAGGGCTCTGCTGGGCTTTGGGACTGCCATGCAAGAGTGGGAACTGACACCTGCAGAGTGTCCCCCAGCCACCAGTGGTGTTAATGCAGGATGCTCTGCGGCCAGTCTGATGATGCACTTGACAACGTCGGCATCGGGGTACTTCGAAAACATGTGGCTCTGGGGAGCTGACCATATCATTGAGTAAGTTGTGCTCTATCAGTTCTTGACGTGAAGAACGAAGCGACTGACTGGGCTGACAATTCTCACTTAGCGATCCTGATCTTATTGATACAAACAACAGCATGGTTCAACCCTCCATCCACATTGCTCGCGGCTTTCTCATCGAAAGCACAAAGCCCACCTGGTAAGTCGGTTTTCTCTTCCACCTACACAGCTGCAACGAAAGACTGATTGGTTGAAGGCTTTACGGCACAGCATCCGAGCACTCCGTCTTCTATCAGTACAATTTCCACTCGGTGGCCAACATCTACGTTGGCATGCTGCAGACGGAATCGCCGTACTACCAACCGACGCCACCCCCGCCAGCCCCCTTTGCCGCCGTTGTCGGCCTTTTCCCTGATGATCCCGATTACACCTGTGCGGCCGGAGACGAGTTCAGCGGCTGTGATGAATCCTGGGCTGTGGTCATGACAGGTTCCGAGAACATCTTTGTCACGAGCGCAGGCATTTATTCCGTAAGTGACGAGAGCGATGGCGTTAGACACCTTTCTGTCTGCATAATGCTGATCACCTAATCATCCAGTGGTTCTCGACCTATGACCAAAGCTGCATTGACACGCAGGAGTGCCAAAAGGCGCTCATGCTGCTCAAAGGCAACTTTGCCAATATCCGCATCCAGAACCTCGTGACGATCGGTGCTAAGTATATGGCCATTATGGATGGTGAGGGTATCCCGGTCGTTGATAACCTCAACGTCGACGTGCACCCTGACTGGTCTCACATCAGCGTTCTTGACGTTGGCAGCAACGGCACCACCCGGTTCGACGAGGTTATCTGGGTTGACCCCATCATCTGGGAGATGGACCAGCCCCAGTTTACATGCTCTCCGCCCTGCAGCGTTAAGATTCCACCGTGGACTGGTGCGACTAGTGTTGTTGATTACCCCCTTATTACTGTCAGCTCAGGTAGCTGGACCAGCACCATTACGCAACCCCCGCTGACTATTACGGAATGGGTCTTCGAGGTGGTCACGCTCAGTCAGGGCGCCGCCGGCGCCAAGGAGAAACGCGCTGCCGACGCGTTCTGGCCTGTCCCGGCGACGACGCCCTTCTGGCCGGCCGTCGTGTATACTGACACGGACGGGAGGGCGACAACGACGTCTGCTACCGTGCCGTTCCCCGACCCTCCAGCATCCATCGGCCCTGACGCGCTGGCGCCGCCCTCAGGTAGCTGGCCTAAGCGTGCGGTCCAGCCGATGTTTGACTCGGGCACGGAGGGCCCATTGACGAACGAGTGCTCCTTCCTCAACTTCAATGACCCGAATTGCGTCACGCAGCCGTGGTTCTGGGGCAACCTGACGGGCGCGCCCGACGGCGGCGACATCGAGAACCTATGGGACCTGCGGACGAAATGTCCCCCCGTGGCTAAGTCCTCCTCCTCTTCCTCCTTGTCCACTAAGACATCTACTACCGCCGCAAATGAGCCCTTGCCCTCGCCCTAGGTGCAGGGCGACCCGCGGGAGAACTTGGTTAAGTGCTACAACAGCGGCGAGATGACCGAGGACGTACGGATGCAGGCTGAGGCAGCCAGCTTCTGCGGCAACATTGAGCACGACAAGCTGGTCCCTAGATATTTCCAGTCTATGGATTTCCCGTTTAACTACAACGGCGGGCTTGGCACAGTGACCATCACTATCTCGATGCAGGTATATAGCTTATAAAGATAACTAAGGTTATAACTTCTAAACTAGCGATTCTCATGCATATGAACAAGGCGTGGCGAAACTAGGTTTCTAATGCCAGAGATCATACACAACGCCGGCTGTCCGAGGTATTCACGTCGCGGAATGCTTCAAAACGGCCTGTAAGGGAATATTCACCCAATAATGATACCAATCAGGCGTCTCGTGCCAGGTGAAGTAGACATGTCTACTGTTTGGGACGGATCATGCATGTCAGGCCGGCCTAGATCTTGGCACTTGCAACGTCACAAAATAGTTGTTCTTAGGCCTACCAATGCCGTCCTTGATAGGTGTCTGACAAGGCTGTCAGTGTAAGCGCAATTTGATTGCTTGTACTCAGGAAGGGAGCTTGTAATTGTTCCGTTGCTACTGTGCAAAGCGGATGACAACCTGACCTGCTCTGATCGGCAACGGTGGGAATGTTGGATAACGCGCCAACTTGGATAACGTGAGGGGAAAGATTAGTCAGAAACTGAATAAATGCAGCGCTAGGCCAAAAAAGGCCCCTTTTTCATCAGCAGAGTTCGCCCATGAGAAACCTTGCCATTTCAATACGTACCTGGATAAGAATGACTTTTCTGCTGCCCAAAAGAGGGGAAATATCAGATAACTGCCCTGCTGCCACCTATTTTGCTATAAGGTCCTCACGAGGTGCCATAAGCTATCCAGCACTTGGATATAATGATGACTAAGCAAGGGTTAGGGTTATAGGGATAGTATGGTACATCTTGCCTAGCTAAGGTCCAACTTAATGCGCTTATATAAGCAGTAAGTACTCCTTATTCGAGGTACGGGCTGTTATCCAACTTCGCCGCCGTTGCCGATCAGAGCCTAGGCTAATTGACGATCCGGTCTACGCACGAGATACTTCGAGGTCATAGCTTGATTAAGCTTCGGCTCTCGTACGGTACTCGAGATTGTTAGTTTCCGGGGGTTGGAAAGGAGAGGATGGGGTCCTTGTTCGAATATCACTCGTGGTTGCAATGGTATAGTTGGAGAAAACCACACTTTCGGATTACTAATACTCACCCAGATAGGGTACCGTATCCTCTCAGTAGATTTGTACACTGCATAGACCACCAGCTAGGCCTATTTCGAAAGGCGGTCAGCCAGCCTAGCCACCCACCTACCCACCTAACCCTAACCCTTGCCACCAAACTTGCTTCTGACGTTAACTAACCCCTGCATTTGCTACATCTAGATCCCTGTTTCTGCCAGCCTGCTTACCCCTTTCCAGTAGCCTGTGGTCAGTGCGTTGTACGAATCTGCTGAGAGGATACGGTAGTGTATGAAATATTGATTACATGCTGACACAACGGGGCAGGCGGTAATGGAATTGGTCAGCGAAACAGCCGGCGGTGAGCTAATGGAAGACAAAGATGGCTGAGAAGATAGACTTTAGGACTGGAACGAGAGAGAATCGCCGTCGCCACACTCCTCGGCCACCTCTCAATGGACACTCCCAGCCAGAGCTCGCGCGCGCGAGAGAGAGGGGGGAGAAAGAAGAGAGAGTGAGAGTAGGGCGAGGGAAGGGAGGACATCCGTGCGGCGGTTAGCGCCGTACGGTGTCCCGTCCCCAGCCTAGCGCGCCCCGCTCGGCCGGCCATCCACTCGGATCGGACCCGCCGATCCATCTTTCCTTACCCATATTCGGCGAACAGGCGCAATCGTTGACCGACGCTACTGGAATCCAACAAGATGATGGCTTACTACTCCGTTCGTGGTGTTACAAATGCGATCTGGGTAGGGCCTGCCCCCGACATTGTGCAATTGACTCGCGCGCGCGGGAGCGTCACATCACATCACATTACAAATGCGCCGAAGCTGGACGAATACGTCACGTCCACCGCCCCGTTGATGATGTGCTGTGCTCACTCTGATTCCCTCCACCGCCCTGAGAAGGGCCCGACCCCAATGCGACCCTGGAGAGCAGAGCAGCGAGGACTGAAGGCTATCAACTGGGTTGGTCTCAGGCTGGTCTCCCGCTGCCGAACGCGAGTCCGCTGGGCTAGAGGGAAGTTCGGGGGATACCGACATACCTTTGCAAATCAACTCTTCGGCTCAGAGACAGACCCTGAGTCTAGCAAAACTTAGGAAACGGCCGGAGGTGAAATCGAAAGCACCCGTCCTTTCACGGCGTACGCGCTATTACCCCACGCTAGTGCAGTAGCACCCGCCGCGTCGTCGCCTTGACCCGGGGGTGTCTGTCGTACCCCTGTGCGTGCCGTGTACCGTACTCCCTCCACATCAATAATACTTGGGTAGAGATTCCGCAGACCACAGGCGCACTGGAGACTGGTCGAACATACCTACCTGCAGGTACACCTCATCGTTGCAGCGCGTCGTGAGCGTGCCTGACGCAACTTGATCTCGTACGGTAGGTATACGGATGCTCGTCAGATATACCCTTTCTTTGCCTTCGTGTCTCACCCCCCCAACCCCCCAAAAAGCAATGATGGTGTGAAGTCTCTCTGTAGGGTAATCTCGCTTGTCAAACATGGTCGCCACTGAACAATCCAAGCGTTCTTTCGTCTGAAACATTGGATTGGATTAGGGTCCTGATGGTGCAAGTCCAGATTCCTGTGTGGAGGAGAATACCTACATACAAAACCTACACTAGAGAGGCGGAAAAAAGAACAACAAACACCCGAGCCGCAACGCAATCGTCAAAGCCCGCGTCGCTGGCGTCCGGCCGAAGCACGCGATGTCAGCTTCCAAGATGAAAGAAATAGACAACACATGTACACACACACACACCCCCCTCCCCAATCCTCCGCCTTTGGGACGTTTAAAAGTATTGATTGCCTCCCCTGTTCCGCTTGCCGTGCCTTCGCCGTCTTGCTCTTTTCTCGTACATCTCTTTTTCCTTTAGCTGCGTTCCATTGGTTCTGCTCAACTGCACTCGCACTTCCGCACTCCCCCACGCCATCCCCGTGCCCGCTCCTTGACCATCGCCGCTTACCTCCCCCCTCCGTCTCCCTCCCTACAAAAAAGAGACGGCTTCTTCTCATTCTCCCTTTCGGAGCTTTCGTGTTCGACCGCTATTGACCAGCAAACAATTCTGCGCCCGAAGAAAAAAAACATCACAGAAAGAGAAAAAAACCACCATCGCCACCCCCCACGCAGTCCGACCGTTGTAAACCCGCAAAGATGGTCCAGAACGTCGTCATCTTGGGCGCCGGCTACGCCGGCCTCGGAATCGCCCACAAGCTGCTCAAGTACACCCAGCCCAAGGTCAAGGACCTCAAGGTCACCATCGTCTCGCCCTCGACGCACCTGTACTGGAACTGCGCCGCCGTGCGGGCCATCATCCCCGGCGAGTTCTCCGACGACGTCCTCTTCAACGAGATCAAGCCCGGCTTCGAGAAGTATCCCGCCGACGCCTTCGAGTTCGTCCTCGGCAAGGCCATCGGCCTCGACCCCGCCGCCAACCTCGTCGACATCGAGACCAACGAGGGCTCCAAGTCGATTTCTTACACCCAGCTCGTCATCGCCACGGGCTCCGGGCTCGCCAGCGGTCTCCCGTTCAAGAACATCGGCTCCCACGAGGAGACCGTCTCGGCCCTGCACAACCTCCAGGCCGAGGTCAAGGCCGCCAACTCCATCATCATCTCGGGCGCCGGCACCACGGGCGTCGAGACGGCCGGTGAGCTGGGCCACACCTACGGCGCCTCGAAGCAAATCGTCCTCATCGTCGAGGGCGACGCGCCGCTCCCCGGTCTCCTGCCGCAGCTCGGGAAGATCGCCGCCAAGAGCCTCTCGCAGCTCAAGGTGAAGCTCATCACCAACGCCCGCGTCACCGAGGCCAACACCACCGAGCCGCTCAAGACCGTCAAGCTGTCCAACGGCGAGACCCTGACCGCGGACCTCTACCTGCCCCTCTTCGGCGTCCGGCCCAACACCACCTTCGTCCCGGAGCACCTCCTCGACGACAAGGGCAGCATCAAGCTCAAGCACGACCTGCGCGTCGAGGGCCTGACCAACGTCTGGGGCGTCGGCGACGTCGGCAACCTCGAGGCCAAGCAGCTCATGCGCGCCGAGGGCCAGGCGCTGCACCTCGCCGACAACCTCGACGCCGTCCTCACCGGCAACGAGGCCAAGGTCAAGGACCTCAAGCTCACGCTGAAGCCCCAGGTCTTCGTCACCATCGGCAAGAAGAAGGCGACGGGCCAGTTCAACACGATGAAGCTCCCCGGCTTCATCGTCAACGCCGCCAAGGCCAAGACCTTCTTCACCGAAAAGGGTCCCGGCTTGGTTGCGGGAAAGAACATTGCGAGGGCGTCGATCTAGAGAGGTTCCGGCGAGGGGAGGGACGGATGGTGATTGTCGTTTTTTTTTCTTGACGAGGTGATTTGTGATGGGCTCGTCTTCAGTTTTTGATATCCCGGATTGCTTGCCTTTTTCTAGCTTAAACAACAGGTGTGCGAGCACACGAAAATTGTAATTAATGGTCCTATACCCTAATCAAACACCGGCGCGCTTTTTCTTTGCTTGTGTTCTCTGCCGCCTTTCAGTAATAGTAATCAGCGAATTCTCCCGAGGCCCTGGTATCATCATTCATGTAACTATTTCCATTCATGAATATCATTCTCTAACCGAACTTTGCGCCAGATCCTTATGTCGTAATCAACGGCATTACTTCAAGGGCTGAAGACTTCAAAGTATCTTCAGTGTCGGTTTCTATTATCTGTTCAATATTTGATGTCTTCCTCAGTGGATTGATTATCGCGAGCAGTATCCTCTTGTGAGCCAGCTTGCTTTGGACATCCTTGCCATCCTAGTAATGGCTGCATGCAGACTGTGAAAGAGAGTTTAGCTCTGCGAAGGTTTTACTGACTTTACAGAGGCAGTTAATGGGTATGGAGACTGTTGAGGCAATCGACCTCCTCAAGGATTGGATGAAGGGTGGAATGAAGCTTCTGATGATATGAGAATGGGATGAGAAGAAGGACGAAGTGAATACGTGAGGGATGGGGATGGGGGGGGATAGAGGATAGGGATAGGAGGTGAGAATACCCTTGTAGACCCTTAGATGACAACAACAGCAGCAGCAGCAGCAGCAGCAGCATATAGAGTTGTATGACGAGGTTGTACGACTAGCCGTACGACTTGGCCATGCGTGTGGTTTGAAGAAAAAGAAACACCACGATGGGTACGGGGGATGCCTTTATATAGTATGGGAATAGCATCATATACGTAGCACTATTAGTAATCCACCAAAACAGCCCACCCAACCCAACTATAGCGACGAATGGCAAACAACCAGCAAGTCAACTATGCGAATAACCTCATATCAACCAATTGAACCAACTTTAGGGCCGAAGTTGGGTTGGTTAGTCTGAATGAAGCGAATTCATCGGTCATTATCGCGTTTTCATCGTGAATTGAGGGAATGATCGTGAATTCACTCCACCTCGGTGCTCTCGGGAAGCTGAACAGTGTCCATGTTGTGGACATTGGCCATATCAGCCGGATTCATATCCAGCTCCTGGAGCCAGTCGTCGTTTCGCTTGTAGATGTCATCGCGAAGAGGGTCGCTCAATATCTCAAGTCGGTCCCAACCGTATTTCTTGACGCACATCAGCGAAGTGCCAAGGCGAATAGTCGTAGTGGCCCAATTGCCGTTGTTCTTCGTTTTATTGAACATACGCTCATAAAGCGTGTCGCTTTTGACGCTGTAATCCATCGAATTTACAATCAATGTACCCGTGTAAGACTGCATGCATGCGGATTGGACGCTACACGGAATAGTGTAAAGGTGAGGCTGAACAAGCTTAGTAGGTCAGGGTAGGGACAGGCAGGATCTGGACCAAGACAAGAATATGGGGAATGGCCGCCGGCAACTCTTAAATGAAAGCAAGAGCAGTAGAACGTTGTTTAGTACGAGCCAGGAGATTGTTTTGCGAAACTGAGAGGTGGTAGAATCAAAGCGATAGCTAAGACGGTTGATGTGGCAATGCAGATACATGGTGAGCCGGTTGTTCCGGTGCAAGATCGGACACAGAACGGCGTTGGGAAGGGACGACACCGGAGAAGAGATATAAGTGCCTACCTACGTATCCGTACCTAGGTAGAGAGACATCGTGGGCGGGTACGTACCCGCTCACCAGCCCCGGAACCTTGGCGGCAGGTGGGGCAGGAATGACCCGGTGCTCGCTTACAAGACTGGTGTGCCCCACATGCACGAACTGAAGGGCTTATCACCACGTGAGATACATAATACTTTGGTAATCGCGGCCCTTTCGTTGGTCCGTAAGCTAACCACCCCCCATTGAATTCACTGCCCCGCCCCGCCCCTAGCGGAGCTGAGCTGACAGCTCATCGCGCCGGACCGCACACACACACACACACACACACACGCACGCACACACATACACACCCGGACGGCGACGGCACTCGAACCTAAATCAACCTTGGTTGAACTCAGGGGAACCAGTCCACTTACACTATTATTACTATCGCATCATCACTACTACTCGATTTGTCCCGACTGCATTTGTAAATACTCCTGCACCGACTTCTTCCTCCTTTTCCTCCTCCTCTTCATACCCGCTCCCCCACCACTCTCCTCTTTCCGGTATGCCTAAGAATACACCGGCTCCAGATGAGCCCGTCGTCACCTTCAGTTCGGGCTCCCAAGAACCGGTTGCTCTGCGTCTTCTTCATCTGAACGATGTCTACCATCTAGAACCCTCCAGTGCTGAGCCGGTAGGCGGTGTTGCACGCTTCGTCACTGCCGTCAACGAGTACCGTAGCCATGACCGCTTCCAGGGACAGCCCGAGCTAGTAACTCTATTCTCAGGCGACGTCTTTAACCCCAGTCTCGAAAGCTCCGTCACAAAAGGTATCACCTCACGTGCCAACATGCACTGATTCGCCAGCATCATGACACTGACGCCCATCAGGCGAGCACATGGTTCCCATTCTGAACAAGATCGGCGTTGACTGCACGTGCGTCGGTGTAAGTTGAACCGCTACGGCCCCATATCTCCTTGATGCCATCTTTTAGCCTGACACGTCCATGCTAGAATCATGACTTCGACTTTGGCGTCAAGCAGTTTGAAAGTTTGACCGCAAAATGCAACTTTCCCTGGCTGCTTGCCAACGTCCTGGACCCGGCTCTCGGGGAAAACGTGCCACTCGGAAATGCAAAGCATACACACATGCTCACATCATCCAATGGCATCAAGATCGGCCTCGTCGGCCTGGGCGAGAGGGAGTGGCTGGAGACCATCAACAGCTTGCCGCCCAACATCATCTACAAATCCGCCAGCGAGACCGCCAAGGAGCTCGTCCCACAACTTCGGGCCCAGGGAGCCGACATCGTCATCTGCCTCAGCCACCAGCGTGAGCCGAACGACAACAAGCTCGCCGAGAAGACGGACGGCCTCTTTGACATCATCCTCGGTGGCCATGACCACTATTACGGCCACAGCCTCATCAACGGCACCCACGTACTGAGGTCCGGCTCCGACTTCAAGCAACTGAGCTACATCGAGGTCCGGAAGAAGCCCGACGGCTCCGGCAAGTGGGATTTTGACATCTTGCGACGCGACATCGTCTCGTCCATTGCCGAGGACCAGGAGACGCTGAAGCTGACGGAGGATCTGACCTCGAAACTGAAGCACAGCTTGGCCAAGTCCGTCGGCTGGACCGCATCGCCCTTGGATGCGCGCTTCACGACCGTCAGAATGAAGGAGAGCAACATGGGCAACTTTGTCTGCGATGTCATGAGACACTACCACAACGCAGACTGCGCGCTGATGGCCGCCGGAACAATCCGTGGTGACCAGATCTACCCGCCGGGTGCGATCAGGGTTAGGGACATCACCAACTGCTTCCCCTTTGAGGATCCCGTCATATTCATTCGGGTGACTGGCAAGCAGCTGTGGGATGCTTTGGAGAATGGCGTCTCCCAGTATCCCGCTCAAGAAGGTTAGTAAATCGGCAAGCCCAAGCCATCGCCCACATGCTAACAGGACAGGCCGCTTCCCCCAAGTATCCAACATCGAATACACTTTCGACCCCAGCAGGCCGCCTAGCTCGCGTATCGTATCGGCCAGCGTTGGAGGCGAGCCCATGGATTTCGAAAGGAAATACACTCTCGCAACCCGAGGCTACATGGGCCGAGGAAAGGGTACGACTCAAGTCCACGCGCAATCTGAAACATTTGCTGACAATCATAGACGGCTACACCAGTCTTCTGGTCGAACCGGAAGGCGGCACCGCCGAAGAGATCGTCTGCGAAGAGAACGGCATTCTCATCTCCGCCATGCTGCGGCAGTACTTCATGAGTCTCAAGACCGTCGGCCGATGGAAGAACCTCAGCGAAAGCTGGCTCGAGGTCGCTGAGAAGTGCCACAGCCCCGTCGAACCCCGCAAGATGTGGGAGACGCCTGCCGCGACCGGCACCTCGGACCCCCAGCCCGAGACCGCGTCCAGGTCGTGGGCCGAATGGATGATCAAGCGTCATGTGCTGAACACCAAAGCCCCGAAAGACGACGAGTCCGACGATTCCGATGAAGAGGTGGACGCGGTTGCGCAGGTCGACACGGAGATACTAATTATGCGTAAGTTCTTTGCCAGGTGGGCCAACAAGGCCGGCGTCAAGGCCGAGGTGTGTGATTCCCTGCGGGAGGGCGAGTTCTCTGTCGACTGGACCCGGGTCATTGCACCCGTTTTAGAGGGCCGCATCAAAATGGTTAGTTAGGTAGACGCACATAGAAATACATATATACTAGAGTCATTTCATTCGAGTAGCGTCCTCGCCAAAGAGCAAGGAGAATCATATGGCATCCTCCGTGAGGACATGGCAGACACCTGTCCGCGAAGCGCTGAAGAAGCAACCAGTCAAGACCAGCCGCATCGGAGTTTTTTTCCAATCAAAAACAATAGTTCTGTCGAATTGGGATAAAAGAAGAGTTCGCACAGACTTTCTCAACCTTTCATTTTTGGCGTTGTCATGGCGATAATGTGTTTTCATGCGTCGATTTGTTCCCATGTCCAGAGGTATTAGCTCTTCCGTTTAGTCAGTCACCAGCAGTGGCCTTCGGCGGTATGAAACGATTCAAGATCCAGTCGTGTCCTGCGATGAAGGTCGTAGCCTCTGAGCACATGCTCTTGGACATCAGAAATTTCCACGGATCTTGAATCGTATAACTCGAAAGGTGACACTCCCCCATGGTAGCCGAGCAACGTGGCATTCCATGCTCGACTGCGCTGCCGAGGTCATCGACGTTGGGCCGAGCGTGCAAAGTTTTGACTTTGAGGATCGATTTGCCCCGAGTTTTGATCTGAGCAATCCTACTAGGGATGAGGATAAAATCAATGCGACATTTTGGAGGAAACGTTCTCGGGGTTGTACGGGTTCATGGCATCAACTACGGGACAACAGTCGATCAGAGAGCCGAAAACTCTCTATGCCACCAATGGCAAGAGCGTAGCTATCGTCGTCAACAACACAGACCCCGAATCTATTCCGGATGACAGCGGGAAGGAAAATACTGAAAAAGTCGATAATTATAGGGGCGTTGCTGTGGACTCGAAGCTGGATTATCAGGTCTTGAACGAAGTGTTTACTTGAGGGAAGAAAGGTGAATCTTCGACCCATCATCGACCCAGTCTTCCCCTTTCAGGACGCAAAGGCGGCTCTTGAGTATTTGAGTTCCGGGAAGCACGTTGGCAAAGTTGTCGTTGAAGTTTGACGTTGCATGTGTTTGTTACTACCCACGTGACGCGTACATGTATATGGTCTGAATCAAGCTCTTGAGCCGCGAAGAATGGGGCATAATCGCGTTGCCAAAGTGCTCCTGATAGTAAAACAATGCAAGTTCTTAGTGGGGCGTCTCAGTAACCTGCCAACTATGCATCCCTTACATTGCTTCTGGAGTGCTGGCTGGAAGCCTCTCTCGAGATGTCATCTTCTCTGTCTTGCCTGCTGAAGGAGTATTTTGGCCTAAGTAGACAATTTGTCCTGAGGCATAAGTGTCTTACTTCGTGTCAATTTTCCAAGTGTGCTTTTCTGAAAGATCGACAGGTGATAGCATCCTATAAACGCTGTGCCTGAGTGATCTTCAGGGGAAAGCGAAAGGTTCCAGATTACCTGTATTCATGTGCATTCAATACTAGGATCGGTAATGTCTAGGTAGGCGGCTCACAACTGATATATGATAAATGAGCGGCTTTGAGCTCCCGGCGGGTCAGTCACGGAGTACTCACCCACAGTGTTCACGGTAATTCGGTGGCCAAAGCTTATGGGAATGCATTCCCAATCCTGGTAGTGCAGTAACGGTATGGGCGAGCTAGCTGGGGGCGGCGGTCACCGCGGTCCATCCCATTGAACCGCCCTATATTAGTGCAAACCCTGCTCCTCCTCCATCCTGAACGAGTAACTTTAGTAACTGACCATCTGAGACTTGACGCTGATGGCGTTCATGATTGAAACCACGAATTAAGCAAGGTCCAATGACTGGTTCATCATCAGCCTGAGAATCACAACCGAGTTGACTTCATGGCGAAGAGGGATAAAAAAAAGCCTCGGCTGAGTCTCAGTGACGAGAGCCGAGCCTCAAAAAGTACTGGCAACCGAATCGTGCATCTTCAGCCGAGGCGGGTGAGCTGATATGCGGTACCGCGTCAGATCAGACAAACTAAAGAGTGAGCACGACACCCTCATTATATTCCCAAAACGTACATGTATCTGCGCCTCTTCCAGGCAAGTCACGGTAGGAACATTATGCCATTGCAATATAGTAGTAGTCCCATATACCGGGGGGGAAAAAAACACAAAGAGCATCATGCACTACCGGTCTTATGTCCTCACTGCCATATTGGCAGCGGCAACACTCGCAGTCCTCAATGAACCATGTTACGGTTCCGAAAGGAAACCTGGTAGGGGCTTTTCATTCCAAATCTGCTGGTATTTTAACAATATCGCGAACGGGCCTCTACGTAACCACGAGCACTTGCTCTCCCAACGGTGGCACGACTATTGACGGCGCATACCCCGGCCGATGCAAACAATGTCAAGTACTACCCCAAATCACCTTGCGGAAGTGGCGGCAACTGTTGCTGGTCTAGCCATTGCGCCGGCACATCAGAGTCCGGTTCCGGGTGGGTCCAAATGCTACTCTTCGTCAGCCGGCGGCTTCGGCGGCTACGACGTTACTTTAATCCCGTCCGTCGGTACTTGCAAGGGGGTTGCTGTTGACGGTGTAAAGACTATTCTCGCGGCCTTCCCCGGTAGGGCTCGAGTGTAAGTGCCATGTACAGCATCATTAACTTAAATACAGGTTTCGCATTGGCTGAAGATACAGGTACTGACTATCTCTGGCAAAGAGATTGCGGAATGGATTATGGCAGATAGGAACGAGATTAACCTGAAGTATATTATTTGGGTTCAGAAGATCTCGAACCGTCAAGACCCCGTGAAGTCTTGGTTGAGCTGGCGTACTATGGAAGACCGGGGCGACTTTACTACAAACAATTGGAAGCCCCAACCTAAGTGCCTGAACGCCGAGCCGTGTCTCATAATTGATATTTAGGGATCATGTCCATGTAAGCCAAATTGAGAGGAGGAGGACTTGGTAAGGGATTAGGTTGGCAAATACGAAAGGACACACTGATCGTCATATGTAGGATACGGGTCAAAGTGAAGTTTACTTCGGCAGCATGTTGGTGGCAAACAGGCTTTGCTCCCGATTCGTGGTTCAATGTAACTACCCCTCTTTTTAAATCTCTAAGAATGTTGTCATTCATCCAGACCTCTCCTGTTAAAGCAAATGAGACAGATCTACTTCGTGGGTATAAGAGGCTGACTCAAGCCGGAAAGCAACTGTTGATACCCCGCCCAATCATGTATTCCGGAATCGCATCGGAAAAGCCGTGCCGTGCCTATGCTGCCCTTGTTGGTTTGCCAGAAAAGTTTAGTGCGCGTGTAGATACTCAGGTACCTGGAGAGCACCAGAAACTGGGTTCGAGGCTTGCGAGGCAATCTCTGATCGACTGCAATCCTGTGCCTCTTTTGTGTACACTACGTCAATTGCCGAGCTTGGACGCCCAGTGATTAGATCGATAATACGGAGTAGTGTCCGCAATCCGTCATCGCGCATACGAGAAACACCCCGTTCTCGCAACGCCGAATCCAGGTAACTGGAATCTAGTCCTTGACGTTTGTGCCCATTGCAGTTCTCCTTCTCCTTTGGAACTAATCTTTATCAAAGAGTGGAGAGGGAGGTACTCAAAGTGGACAGACAGGCATAGTGTGGCCCGGACATGTGGAGGTTGGAGCAGGGATCACTGTATCAGGATTAGCAAAGGATTTGGCAACGTCCTGTAATAAAAAATTGAACATGGGCCTACAGAGAACCGTTTCTAGTATACCATGTACATCTTTGATCTTCACAACACAGTAGTGGACTTGACAGGGATATACAATATTTATTTTGCGCACTTGCAGTGATCGTTGGTATACTTACCTCTTCCGTAAGCCGCCATTTCGGCAGAACACTTCCAACCCATGGCTGGAGAGATATCTACTAGACTCATCGAGTCATCTTTCCCCTTACAGAAGCAGAAAGAAATCCTGTTTTGGGGCTTGGCAGAACTATCCGCAGCCCAGGTCCATGGAGGACAACAGCATTGTAGTTGGATATCGGACCATTGTAGACCATCCCAGTAAGAGACCAGTTGGGGAACATGTAGAATTTGACCAGAGAAATTTACGAATCTTGTCAATCATCATGAAGGGTCCCAGTAAATTCACACTTCTCCTTGTGAACCCCATTCGACGTGCCACTACGTGCAGCAGGGATTGCGGACCATTTCGTGATAGCCCGCAGATTTCATTTTCTCTTCTTTGCTTTCATTTTACGGGTTATCTATGTTGAGGGAACTGTGGATTAATCTGGAGGCTTATAACAGCTGGGGATCCTCCAACCAGTTTTCTCCCCCAACTCGTCTGCCACACTTCAGTGCCTCGACATTTCTTCTAGGAACAGCCGCAGCAGGGGTGTCTCAGTTACATCATGAGGTTCTCAACATACGCACTGACGGCAATGGCCATGCTATCGGGTGTCATGTCGGCTGCGGACCAAGTTTCTGCCGCAGCCCAATCGCCAGCACAGGTTGCCATGCAGATGTTTCCGAAATGTGCAGTAAGTATACCCTAGTGTGTGTTTTCCTTCGTGCTGTGCTAAACCTTATTTCTACAGCTGTTTTGCCTCGCAAAAATCATCCCCGAGTCGGCTTGTTCACCAACAGACGTACCCTGTTTGTGTACCAACGCGCCACTCAACGCGCAGTTAGCAGGATGTATCATGCAATCGTGCACTACATACGAGGGACTGAGTAAGTACAGCTGCAGATGATATGGTATTCTCAGTAGGCTAATAGATGATATATAGTGTCCAAAAATGCGTCAATGACGATGTGTGGTGCACCGGTTCGCAACGAGACTGCCAAGCCTCTTCTGATCGGAGTGATCGGGGGAGCCATCACATTCTTTATTTTCGGGCTCCGGATGTGCGCTAGTCTACTACCCGTTGGCGGTAGGCCCTGGGGGTGGGATGACTTCACGATTGTCATCGCCATGGCACTCGCCATACCTCCCACCGTATTTTCTGTAACCCGTGAGATACCTGATCTGATCTGTGCTCTTCAGCATCTAACAAAACTGCAGTGTCAAACAACGGACTCGGCAAAGACATGTGGACTCTACCGCAGCAGCAGATTGAGAACGTCCTTTACGTAAGGCTGCCGCATGGACTTGAGTTTTGTGCGCCGCTAATATCTTGCAGTACTACTACTTGGGAGAGCTATTCTATTTCGCGGCACTCACTGCAACCAAGTTGAGCATTCTTTTCTTCATGCTTCGTGTTTTCGGGATGGACCGGACATTCCGGCGGCTCGTTTACGGAGCAATGGCTCTCTGCCTTGCATACGGAATTGCCTTCGTTACCTGTACGGCACTGCAGTGTATGCCGGTCAGCTACTCCTGGGAGCAAATCGACAGTAAAAAGGTTGGAAAATGCAACGACATTCATCTTCAAGGGTGGATGTCAGCTATCTGCAACATCGTCATCGACATCCTCATCCTGGTTCTTCCCCTGAAGAAGCTAGCCGCGCTTCAGATGAAGCTGAAGAAGAAGCTCATGATCACGTTCATGTTCTCTCTGGGAATCTTGTAAGGCTCACCTTGACAAGACGTCAAAACCCCTCTTCTCTATACTCGCTAACCGTGTATTTCTCAGTGTCACTATCGTCAGTGTAATTCGTCTCAGGTCCCTCATCCTCTTTGCCAACTCGCAGAACATCACTTGGGACTACACCGATGCAGCCTGGTGGAGCACCGTCGAAATTCATGTAGGCATCATCTGCGCTTGTCTACCTTCGCTGCGCGCTCTTTTCATTGCTTTGGGCGTAAAGAAGCTTGGCTCGACCAAGGGCAACTCACATGGCCACTCGACTGGTCCAAAATCAACTGGAATGAAACCCGGAACGAACAAGAGCGGAATGAGCTCTACGGCAGAGAAGTCTGCCAAAAGCGTCCCGCGGCAAGGCGATGAAAGCGACTTCATCCCGCTGGTGGACGTGGAAAATGGCAAGTCGGGCTTTGGCGAATCGATTCACACTGTTCACAGTAATACTGGGTCAGCCTTATCGTCGACTGTCAGTGCAGGGAGAAATACCCGGTTGTAAAGGCGGATCCTGATTATGAAGTAATTCGGTTTGGCATGCGACCAGGGGGGGTGTCAATTCTTGGAAAGCACCGTTGCTTCAGGACTAAACAACTTTCAAATTTTACATGTTATCATGTCACGATAGCTTCATACAGCACCTGTCAGGTGGATTGTAATGTGCCATAATATCACGTGGCGTCACTCATTACTCGTAACATATTAATGAACTAACAATTTTCCAACCCCCCATACGTGCCGTTTTCACTTTACACGGTCAAGAATCAAGATCAAATATGACCCAGGTCTAAAAGTATACCTAGAGCTGTCTACAACAGTAGTCGTATGACTCCTGCGTCACAAATCTCATTGTCCGGCCCATACTCTTGCAATGAGACAACCAACCGCCCATGGGTTCAGTTCTAGAGTACGCGAAGGTAATCGTATTGAGAGGATATATGAAGATCTTATCTCCAGGGTGCGTCGCTCGATGTCTCGGCCCTAACTAGGCTAAAGGCTTCTATGATCTAAAAGCCTATTCCCGAGTCTGTCTATTCACTCATGAACTGATGAGCCCTCTGAGCATACCTCGCTTTGGAGACCAGATGCACTATTATGATAGTCAGGGTTAAGTTTCGCAATCCTAGACTGCCCCGCTTAGCATGGCCGGACAGGCTAGGCGTAATCCCTGAAGAGCCATCCAGAAACGTGGTAGATCCCTCCCAAAAAGCGGTGATCCTCGTCTAGCTACCTTTCTATCTAAAAAATCAGTGGTGAGAGGCCGATTTGGGACAACAGCGTCGTAGAGGTGGAGAGGATGTGAGGATGAGATTAGTCGTGTTGTTACTAATTCATGGCAACAAGCTTGTATTGTGATATCAAAAGGGACAATACAGTGGAAGCTGTGAATGCTAAAATTTTGAATCTCTATCTACTGAGTCGCTACGGTTTCGGGGCCATCCATGCCGCCATACTAATTTCCCGACATGGGTATCTTATCCCACACTATACGGCAAGCTAGGGAGTCTCTCACCGAAACCAATTTCCATCAAGAACCTCCCTTGACCTTCAACATCAAGAAAGCCGGTCTTCTCGACGTTCAATTCACCGCTAGTGAGCTAGGGCTATTAATGAAGGATTGTCTTACATGTACCACTGATCGCCAGAGGATCTACCCGTATGCTGGAAGATTGCCAACCAGCCACGGCTTCTGGACATGGCCGCGTATATCGAAGCGTGTCGCCAGTTGTCGATCGCAGCAAAATGTGCCGGATCCAACGGCATGTTCGGGTCGGGGTAGCCAGGCAAGTCTCATCACTGTGTGTGTCTGACCTCGCATTTCTTTAGAAAGTATTACTTTTCAGGCAGAGTATTAGTAGTTGCCAGAAACTACACTGTCCCCAACTTTTCCCAAAGACCGCTACAGAGAAGAATGTTTCTCACTCTCTAGGTCTAGGCTTCAAAAAGACTCCCAATCCAGTAAGTCAAAGCACCCACATATGAAACACCCCTACATATAGAACACCTAAAACATCGCCATCATGTCAACTACCACCCTTTTTAATTAACTATTAACATTTTCTAGATATAATAATTATAATAAACTACAGTGTCCTAACATTTATAAAGAGAAGTAGTTAATTTTCCTAAGTCTAAGTACAAGAGAAAACTTACCTAGAAATACTCTTCCTAATATAGGTCTTATTAGTTAAAGGCGCTACTCTGTGGCGTCTCTGACTAAAACTAGCTATATAAAGCTATCCTAGCTTTATAATATACCCCCCTAGTTATAAAGTCTATCTTTATAACTAAATAAAAAACTATAAATATTTTTATAATAAAAGAAAATAAAATAGTTATTAGTTAATAATAGCCTTTTAAGCTAATTAATAAATAATAAAGTAAATAATAGTATTATATAAAAGGTCTTTTAATACTATATTTTATTATTTATTATTATTTACTTTAGTAGTAGTTTTTTTTATTTCTTAAAGTACTTATTTTTTCTAAAATAGGTAATAACTACTTACTTACTAGTTAATTAATAAATATCTCTTAATATTTTATTACTTAACTTTTCTTTTTTTTTTAACTAATAACTTATTAAATAAAGTAAGTTAATATTTTTTTATTTACTATATATTCTAGTTTATATAGTAGTTCTAAAGCTATTCTTAAATAGCTAATAGTTAAAAAAAAGTAAAAAAAAGTTATAGCCTTCTTTTTAACTAGTAATATATTTTAAATAGCTTAAGTTTCTTAGTTAGTAATTATTTTTACTTCTTAAGTCTTATAGTTTTTTTAACTAAGAAATTATTTAAATTTATATTTTTACTAATAATCCTCTTTAATAAAAGAATATATTTACACTTAAGTTTAAACTCCTTAG